CTGGCGGATCACAGACACTGTGAATAGTACTGTTATATTAGTCCTCACTGAGGTATCCCTGGCGGATCACAGACACTGTGAATAGTACTGTTATATTAGTCCTCACTGAGGTATCCCTGGCAGATCACAGACACTGAATAGTACTGTTATACTAATCTTCACTGAGGTACCGCTGGCGGATCACATCTTTATGCATGGTTGCCTTGATATTTGGTCTCAGGTCATGAGTTTAACTCCTATTTTGTTTTCAAACTTTTTCTTTTTATAATTAACGCCATGGAAATTCTTTGTATTTAATTTTGCTAACAGATGTTCACCCTTGACTTTACTGTATTTAGTTTTGCTTACAGATAGTCACCCTTGACTTTACTGTATTTGGTTTTTGCTAACAGATGTTCACCCTTGACTTTACTGTTTTTAATTTTGCTAACAGATGTTCACCCTTGACTTTACTGTATTTAGTTTTGCTACCAGAAGTTCACCCTTGACTTTACTGTATTTAGTTTTGCTAACAGATGTTCACCCTTGACTTTACTGTTTTTAATTTTGCTAACAGATGTTCACCCTTGACTTTACTGTTTTTAATTTTGCTAACGGATGTTCACCCTTGACTTTACTGTATTCAGTTTTGCTAACAGATGTTCACCCTTGACTTTACTGTTTTTAATTTTGCTAACAGATGTTCACCCTTGACTTAACTGTATTTAGTTTTGCTAACAGATGTTCACCCTTGACTTTACTATATAGTCTAGCTGTCAAAGTGTTGTGTTGCTACGCGGTTATACCATACATACACTTGTAGAAACAAAATTGTCAGATGATATCCTTCCTTTTCCTGCCTTGAAGAGGACAATATTAATAATATTTATTTGTTTGGCACAATGGAGGTACTTGACTTGCAAGCTGGGCTCTAACACATATATAATCATCATAAAAACAAGCAATTTCATTTACCAATGGACACAATATATATATATGTAGCTGAAAACCAAATAGAGATTGTTTTGTACCTGTTAATTTTCATGATACACCAATCACAGTAAAGTTTTAACACAGTCAACATTACTGTATGTTTAAAACATGTATTCTGTACAACTTGCAATAGTCATGCTTAAAATTACCTTTTTAATGTGGTGATGGAGTATTTGGCCCCATGGCCAAAGGTCAGAGGTCAGGTCATTGTGGATAAATCCTTAACCATATAATTCAATATGACAAATATACTGTATATATATAACCTTAAGGGCAAATGGTAGCTTCTACAGGTAGATTGTCTTAAAAGGTGAACACCCACCTTTGTAATCACATTGTGTATTGCTTTAGGTTACTTATCACCTGCTATTAGATTTTTAGAGGTCTATAACGCTGTTCACAAAATAGGCTGCATATACATTTGTAGTTCTATAAAATGGTGTTACTGTGTATAATGATACTTTTATGTATATGGTATACACACATGTAGATATAGGTAGGCTGGAATATAATATATGTAATATATGAGAAAAAGAAATGCACGGCCAGAACGGGAAACTTTAGATGGATGCTCTGCAACTTATAGCTAAACTTTACCTGGTTGCCGAACGTCGACCGAGTCTAGTTTTGCTATTATCCTCTTCTTTTTCTAAGTCTTCGTCCCTAAAGACACAACTATTAACTACCCAGACTTGGGCATCCCCTTGCCTAGCATTCACCCACTGCTTGAAATAAGGGTTTGTATGATAACCAATTTTGTATTAGAAGAAAGAGAAAAATGCACTGCCAGACCAAGATTCAAACCCAAGATCCTCCAATTGAGCTACATGTATCTGGTCACTGAAGATCAACCCTGTCCAGTTGAGTTCCGCTACATATATACTGTATATATATATACAAATCAGAAACCTTTAAATTACTGTTATATTGGTGTTTTACGTTAGTGAAATGGTGGTTCATAATTAGGCTAAATGCATTCAAACTCTGAATATTTTTATTCCTAAAGATTGTTCTTTTGTTCTATTGTGACAATTATCGTTTCAGGGTCTGAGTACAGTACAGGACAAGATTACTGTACCCAACGACCCCTACAGTGATGCCACTGATGATTGCAGAGTATGGCTTGGTAACCTTGATTCACGACTAACAGAGTATGTATCATAATATGTTGCATACCATCAAATATTTCCTTCTGTTTACCATCCATAGATGGATTCGGTGATATAGATTATCATAGGTGCAATATTTAATGTTGGTCAATTATAACTAAGGAATATGCTAAATTACCGAACACTGATGCTAAAGGTAATAAATAGTGATACAATTATTGTTCTAGGTTTTGTGTCATGTATTTTGTGATAAAATAATGTAATGTTTGTTTCCTTACAATTTAAGTGACACTGATTACCCTGAAAATTAAACAAATTATCTTGTATATATGCATACATTTGCCATAAATTGTTTTATTTTAATTCATGTTTTAGTAGTTATACACCTGCTACATGCCATTTTTTGTCTATCTCTAAAAAATAGCCAAAGGATAAAAAACAACATACACAGAAATACAAAATGCTTACCATTGGTATCTGTTTAGTCTTAGATACTTCATCTCCTATAAAATCAATTCCTCTGTTTTGTAGGTTTTCCCTGTTGAAAGTTTTACAGAAGTATGGCTCTCTGAAGAGATTTGACTTCCTGCTCCACAAGTCCGGGCCTGATGTAGGCAAACCTCGTGGATATTGTTTTGTCAGCTACCAGCACAGAAAGGTATATGTTCGTTCAATGCCATCCTGACCACTATGGTGGCAATGGGTGATATTTTTGTACAATGAATAACCCCCATGATATTACAAGTATCAAAATAAAATAAATTAAAAATCAGCACTAAAATTGGTACAAACAGTTTCTCCTATACTATCTAAAATTTACTAATTGAAAGTAATCTCTATTATTGTCTAGGATGCTGAGCGGGCAGTGAAAGGTCTCAATGGGAAACAGGCCTTGTCTAAACGGATGATTGTTAAATGGGCTCATGCTGAGAAACATGTATGTATTTAGAAAGCGATCATACTTAATTGAAACGTCTTCTGTTTTAGACCTTTATCTTCTGTGCTCAATACAGATGTAAATGTGTTCTTATTTCTGAACAAAATTAGTATTAATTATTGCCTGATTTCCAAATTCCAAAGAAATTTTAGCATATGAATATGATGCTGTTATCAATGTACAATAATCTGATAGATAATAGGGGGCCAGAATGTGTTCATCACAGGGAAAACAGGTTTTGTAATATTGTAACAGTTTATGATAATGTTTCACCCAAAATCTTCACAGTATTATGTTCTTGTTTGACAATTAAAAGTCCCCTGAAAAAATAAATAAAAGCTATTTGTGGCTTTAGTTTCACACACCTGTAGGTTACAATTTATTGATCAATTTGTAAAGTTATTAGGTCATAATATTACATTAATTTGTTACATCAGTGTTTTTTGCATCTTTTTGCCAATAATATTACAAAAAAACCCCACTTACACCTAAGACCCTTATATTTTGTATTTATCAAGTTCTTTAGGTTGGAATAGCCCTATACATGTACTAGAAATTCTGACTGTAGCAAGAAATACATACACTACTAATTCCCCAACTACAGCTGATATATAAGGGTAGAAGAAATACCCCATACCAGGAAACTTCCCTAATCGTAGCAATCCACATCTAAAGTAATTAAGGTAGGAACAATTCTTCACACCGAAAATAAAACTTACTTAATCCTAACCTGTACTTTTAAGACAGGCCATGTATAGTTCTCTAATCCATTGTTACCTGTATATATATGACAGACTGTTTACCTGTATATGTATGACAGACTGTTTACCTGTATTTGTATGACAGACTGGTTACCTGTATATGTTTGAAAGACTGGTTACCTGTATACATGTATGTATGACGGACCAGGTTACCTGTATATGAATGACGGACTGGTTACCTGTATATGTATGACAGACCAGACTACCTGTATATGAATGACAGACCAGGTTACCTGTATATGAATGACAGACTGTGGTTACCTGTATATGTATGACAGACTGTTTACCTGTATATGTATGAAAGACTGGTTACCTGTATATGTATGAAAGACTGGTTACCTGTATATGTATGAAAGACTGGTTACCTGTATATGTACGAAAGACTGGTTACCTGTATATGTATAATGGACTGGTTACCTGTATATGTATGAAAGACTGGTTACCTGTATATGTATGACAGACTGGTTACCTGTATATGTTTGAAAGACTGGTTACCTGTATATGTATGAAAGACTGGTTACCTGTATACATGTATGTATGACGGACCAGGTTACCTGTTTATGTATGACAGATCAGGTATATCTTTTAACTGATATAATATGACATTTTCACACAGGAAGTGGAGCCTGTCACTAGACTCAGTGTTAAGAAAGATCCTGTCACATTCGTCACAAAAGAGGACAACCACAGGTAAGATAATGTAAACTTTAAGACTTCATTCCATCACTCTGTCACAACTAGGTTATCTGGAATGTGTACCAGGTAACTGTATCACATAGTCTTAATAGTATACAGGATATTGATTGCAAGTAGGTTTGGGTGAAATATTCTCCTTTACATGAACTCTCACCTGGATGTATGAAGTCTCATTACATGCTATACAAGAGCCTATTCCTTAAACGGCAAAGTATCTATCTCTCAGTTTACCATTGGTCAAGTATCTATCTCTCAGTTTACCATTGGTCAAAATCTATGTTTTTGCTCCTCCTTTTCCTTTGTTTCTCTTTCACAACATTTATTATTCTTTGTTGAATAAAAAATACATCCAAATCAAAACGTGCGCAGTGAAGTGAATATATAAAAGAGAAAGAATGTATGCTAGATGTATGTAAGGAGATTGTGCCTTATGTACATGTTTGCATATGTACGATGATGTATGAAAGGTTTGCCATTTCAGTACTACATGTATATATATCATACAGTGGTAAATGAATGCAGCTAATTAGGTGTGAATGTGTATAATGTATACGTACAGTTATATGTTTTATTGTAGAAGCTTTATTTAACTGTATGCTTTGTAATACTCTTATACAATGTACAATGCAAGTGGTGTGAATGGGGAATTTGCTTTATAGCAACTACTTAGCATGGTATTGTGTTTGATGGGTAGGAAAAAACAGTTGTGTGATGTTATTCTGAAAATGTCTCCATCTTACAATAGGATCATGTCACAAATATCAAAATAGGGTTGTGTCATCAATCTGGCACACATAAGGACAAATGACATCTATATTTAACTGTACAGCTTAGTACATGTAATAAGGTTTATATTTAGAAAAGAATTACTACTAATGACTATATTGCAGAGTTGCAGACAGTAAAATCTTATCCTTCTGGATGATTTATTTATTCATATGTATACACATTTGATATCATGCCTTTAATTTGGTAATTCTGATATGTATGTTTATGATATCAGCAAAAGGATAATTTTGTCAAGTTTTCTTCTTCTAAGATTTTGTTGTTCTCGGTTGCAGTCCTGAGAGCACAATAAAAGCCATTGAGGAGAAGCTCAGAAATATGGAGGAGACACGAGATGACTTTACCATGTCTACAAAGCCAGCTGCTCTCCCTGGCACTAATCAACTCAGCGCAATCCACCAACATGCCAAACAAGTCACCACACGTAAACCGCGCTCACACCATCAACCTTACACAAACAATAGACACGGACGAAGACGGTGAAACATGGCTAAGATCACTGTTTGAAACCGTCATCTTGTTATAGTCATTTTGTGTGTTCTGGTTCTCATCTCCTACTATGAAGTCATAAAATCATTGAAATGTTGAAAATCCATAGCAGCTGTTAACAGGGTGATGTATGACTGTCACCTCTGGAAGTGGGTTGATAGAAGATGTTCTGTAATAGATATAAATTGTGCGTATAAAATCAGAGATGTAAACACATTGTGTTCAACACTTTGTGTCTATTAAGTGACCTCAACAGTCACAATGACAGAGGCAGAGCCATGAAGTATCCATGGTAACAACAGTAGAGACAGTCGGTTAAAGTCACCATGTGAGATACAGTAAGTTGAGGTTTTATCATGGTAGACAGATACTGTGTGTCAAGGTAGTTCATTGTGGTTGCCATGGTATATAAGGTATGCAGAGGTTACAATCTGGTACAATCTGGTGTTACCATGGTACATACAATGTGTTGATGTTACCCTGGTACATAAAATGTGTTGATGTTACCCTGGTACATAAAATGTGTTGATGTTACCCTGGTACATCCAATGTGTTGATGTTACCCTGGTTCATACAATGTGTTGATGTTACCCTGGGGCATACAATGTGTTGATGTTACCCTGGGGCATACAATGTGTTGATGTTACCCTGGTTCATACAATGTGTTGATGTTACCCTGGGACATACAGTGTGTTAGTGTTACCCTGGTACATACAGTGTGGTGATGTTACCCTGGTACATACAGCGTGTTGATGTTACCCTGGTACATCCAATGTGTTGATGTTACCCTGGTACATCCAATGTGTTGATGTTACCCTGGTTCATACAATGTGTTGATGTTACCCTGGTTCATACAATGTGTTGATGTTACCCTGGTTCATACAATGTGTTGATGTTACCCTGGTTCATACAATGTGTTGATGTTACCCTGGTTCATACAATGTGTTGATGTTACCCTGGTTCATACAATGTGTTGATGTTACCCTGGTACATGCAATGTGTTGATGTTACCCTGGTACATGCAATGTGTTGATGTTACCCTGGTACATCCAATGTGTTGATGTTACCCTGGTACATGCAATGTGTTGATGTTACCCTGGTTCATACAATGTGTTGATGTTACCCTGGTACATGCAATGTGTTGATGTTACCCTGGTACATACAGTGCGTTGATGTTACCCTGGTACATACAGTATGTTGATGTTACCCTGGTACATAAAATGTGTTGATGTTACCCTGGTACATCCAATGTGTTGATGTTACCCTGGTTCATACAATGTGTTGATGTTACCCTGGGGCATACAATGTGTTGATGTTACCCTGGTTCATACAATGTGTTGATGTTACCCTGGTTCATACAATGTGTTGATGTTACCCTGGTTCATACAATGTGTTGATGTTACCCTGGTACATGCAGTGTGTTGATGTTACCCTGGTATATACAGTGTGTTGATGTTACCCTGCTACATACAGTGTGTTGATGTTACCGTGGTACATACAGTGTGTTGATGTTCCCCTGCTACATACAGTGTGTTGATGTTACCGTGGTACATACAGTGTGTTGATGTTCCCCTGCTACATACAGTGTGTTGATGTTACCCCGCTACATACAGTGTGTTGATGTTACCCCGGTACATACAGTGTGTTGATGTTCCCCTGCTACATACAGTGTGTTGATGTTACACTGGTACATACAGTGTGTTAGTGTTCCCATGGTACATACAGTGTGTTAGTCTTACCATTGTACATCCAGTGTGTTAGTTTTACCCTGGTACATACAGTGTGTTTGTGTTACCATGGTACATACAGTGCGTTAGTGTTATTATGGAACATACAGTGTGTTAATGTTACCATGGTACATACAGTGTGTTCCCCCTACCCTGCTACATACAGTGTGTTGATGTTACACTGGTACATACAGTGTGTTAGTGTTAGCATGGTACATACAGTGTGTTAGTGTTCCCATGGTACATACAGTGTGTTGATGTTACCCTGGTACATACAGTGTGTTGATGTTATGTGGTACAGTATGTGTTTAGGTTATGTGGTACAGTATGTGTTTAGGTTATGTAGTACAGTATGTGTTTAGATATATGTGGTACAGTATGTGTTTAGGTGATGTGGTACAATGTGTGTTGAGGTTATATGGTACTGTGTGTGTTGAGGTTACATGGTTTAATGTGTGTTGAGTTTTTGAAAAATAACTGAACACGTTTTGGGAATGAGCCCATCTTTTTTATACCCAACAATGGCCTTGGATAATCCCTCAAGATGGCTATATGAGTTTGCAATGTTTGTATTTGTATGATGTGCCAGCATTTCTTATTCTTGTGGTGGTATGTGCAATATGCATTTTGATAAAGACAAATCTTAAAGTTACATTGATTTGGTCAAGAGACAGCAATACCAGGAGTACTCAAGTTCTGTATAGTGATCAGAGCTGTTAACTCCTAGTTTTTTAGATCTGATTTGTTATAGTATATTTTACACAATACTTAAAAAATTGTATGAAAGTCATGCCAGACTTTTGAGAATTCATATAATTAAATGTCTTTGTATCTGTTTGCAGCGATCTGAATGAATCCAGAGGTCATCGTGTTCTCCATTGTACTGTTATATTTTATACCTTAGATGTTAAGGTATAAAACACTCTTCTGAGGTTTAAATCACATTCAAATCTCTTAAAGGAGATTTAAACCCCATATCCATTGTAATGTCATATATGAGTCGGAGTGAAAGATTCAGCAATAAATAGTGTTGAGGATTTTACGCAGACAACATTAAAAATGAAAGAATGTCATGTATTTTAACATACGAATAAAATAATGGAACAATTTTTATGACTTTTGTTTATTTCTTTGAATAGTGATCTGTTTGTTTATTATTAGCACAAGGACAAGACATTACCTGGTACTAATTGCAATGAAATATTAAATATGTTTAAATGTGATCATTAGTCATTATATACAAACTACATCTGTACATGCTGAAAGTTCCTTTATTCTATCTGTATATTCAGCTTCAGATTATATTTCACCCGCTTTTATATTCTAGAATTTCGCAAGTTTTAACGAATACAATTGATCATTAAGTTACCTTAAGTATTGAATATGATGTTGATTATTGACTCTAAAATTCAATACTGGTGCGACACCTGTTAAATACTGTGCAAACGAGTTATCTCCCGTGAATCAAGATGTCTGCGCCCATCGGCACAAATCAACGTGACGGGTGAAGGGCGGTTCATGATGGGAAAACAAGACACTGACAGTGACTGTGGAAGCCCTGAGGGCAAGATTATGACAGAGCTTGGCGTTTCTGTGTTGTCTAAAGTGGGGAAAACACCTTTGGAAAAGTCCAAGTTTTACAATGCTCGACTCGCCCTAATCAGGTGTCAGTGTTGTCCATCCATGACCAGTCGCTTATCTATCTATATGTTATACTCGAATGGTTTTGAACCACATGTGTTTTGATGCGTCCTTCTACTGATGCCAGATTTACACCACACTGTTTTATTGTTAATGAATGTGGTCTCGGTTTAAGCACAGGAGTATGAAATTCTGTCAAAAACACCAGACATCTATCTGTTAAAATGTCTAAAGGTCTCACTGGTGTCAAGGCCAGAGAAAACTCGGGCTAGGCCGGGTGCAACCACATGTGAGCTCAATTCTTGTCGGTTTAATTGGATTCTATTTACCAAACATGAAATAATTACTAAAAAAACGTAAAGAAACATTGAAGTAAAAATCTCAATTTTTTTTTTTGTTCTGATCCTTTTACCTCTTGATTTATGGAAACTTTCAAGTGGCATTCTCACCAATATTGCATTTCTTTTTTTTACAATTTTTCAAAAACACTTCTTGCTCTTATAGTTTTGAAGATTAAAAATAGTTATTTACAACAACTAAAAGTTGAAGTTTAAAGATGCTAGTACTGGCCTAGTTTTAAATCTTTTTTTGATCTGTCTCCATAGAGACAATGTTTCGTCAACTTCTTAAAAAAATGTGTGAGGAAAGATAGCAAAGGTAACACAAAACGTAACAGAGTTTGTTAGTGTGTTTCGTTTTCTTGTCCAGAGAAGCTGTGTTGAACACGCTGTGTACCATGACAAGGGAGACAACTGAAACATTACACTGTGTGGACGCAGTAGGAGGAACAGGTATGTTGGCAGCAAGAAAGCAGATTACAGTTCAGGTGTTTATATCAGTTGTATACAGCTAGCTGTTAAACATTTTCATTGCAAAAGAAGTAAATAGATGTTGCTCAAGTGTACAGGGAAAGGGCTTGATATAAGTTGTAAAACTTGTGCCCAATTCCATTGCTATGTAAAAAAGGCAATAAAATATGTTTAAATAAAGTGTACAGAAATACTTATCTGTAACTAGAAATGATACACTCCAAACTAGTTTAGTGTAATCGTTTTCTTTCTTTTATTGATTTTGTTGGTTTAAATCTATCCTCATCAGTTTTTTAAAAGAATGTTGACCTGTTATTTGAAGCTTTTCTTCTTGCCTGAAAAAATCCATTTGCATTGAAGTTATTCTTTGGAAATGAACTGGAGAATGGCTCAAAATCATGATGAGCTCTCAATAAGGAATACAAATGGTTCGAACCTACTGCTGTTTCAGGAGTAACCGGCCTCCAGTGGAAGGTGAGATTGAAGAATTTAGTGCATGTTACGATAACGGAGAAGGAACATATTACCGAAGTACAAAGTAACTGTGAGAGAAACAGAATCTCCGACTGTCCCTTGCCCCTAGACATGAGTCGTGTTCCAGGGGACCCCATGGTGTCCCAGCGAGACCAGGAGGTTCACACCTGTAAATGTACAGCTCCTGTACTCCTCCATATGGAAGCTTTTGACTTTGTGTGAGTATGACTGGGAAAAAGAACAAAAAAACTTTAAAGAAATATTTACCTAATTTCAATGATCACTTCTTGTTGCTTGAAGGTAGTATTTGAAAAGTATTATTGTTAAGATGAACTTAGATCATTCTCAAAAGGTCAGAATTTCACTGGACACATTAAACTTACATAGGCACTAAGACATAACATAACTGAGGAGGAACTACATATGTAGGTGACATTAGATGCCATTAACCTCAGAGAAACCTTTATGTTTTCTGTCAATGACACATGTACAGAGGCTTACTGACTTAAGTTGAAAAGAGTTTGAATAATCTCTCCCGATGTTGCTCTGGAAATGTATAGTTGACTGACAAAAATACTATGGTACAACCTATATTTTGATTTCTACAGGTCTCAAAATTAATAATTCATACTGAAAACCAAGTTGTTTGTTTGTATTTTAAGAGAAGATAGTATTTGTGATTGCCCTTAAGGTTGAGCCTGACATACTTATAAGATAAAGATATGTTTTCCTTTCCTTTACTATATTACTGTATCTACTAATACATGTAATACACTATTTTCAGTAATATACTGCTTGTATCTGAAAGTAATGACAACAAATACATTAACAAATGAAATGTGCATCAATTTGATTTACGACACAGCAATATTGAGATTTTGATAGCTCTCACTATTGTATATTGTACATTTCTCCATTCATTTGAAGGTACCTTTACCCGCACAGTAATATATCTGGGCACATAGATGCAGCTGTAACAAATATCCGTAATAATGGTGTCCTGTGTCTAGTGTCTACAGACTCGACACATCAATTCACACGCTCAGCCGTTTCCGTTCGACGTCACTTTGGTGCCACAGTAACCAAGACAGAATATCTCAAAGAGCTGGCAGCCAGGGTCATTATAGGCTCCATAGTCAGGTGTGTATTGTTACACTCATCTTGTTTGATTGTATACATGTAGCTAGATGTGTACAGTTACAGAATTCTTTTCTGTTTCCTTGTAATGAAGGCAAGGTCCTTCCACTTAATTTTCTCTGGTATAGTTAACTGGCCAGATTATATAACAATGACAAGACATCTCCCTTGAAATGTAATTACGTTAAAGAAGTACTTCAACTTACACATTGATACACATAAATTGTTTAAATTAACTTTTTGTGATAAAACTGACCATTTTATGTGATGAACCAATAAAACAAATCATAGGTAGGTATGATAAGAGAAAGGAAACAGTAATGAAGAGAGCATGATAATATCACAACTGTCACCTAGAATCTACCCGACTCTAAAATGTACCTTTGTACCTTATCAAATATTGGTATGTTATCATCTTGAGACAGATTTGGGTCACCATAAATTAACCGTTCAGGGTTCAAATTAATATTTAAAGTACCTATGTTGTTCTATGGAGATGGCTTTATGTAAGATTTAAAATCTGTTTGCCACATCCTATTCCTATTTACCTGGGTACTTATTGTGTATGACAAATGAAATGAAATATTGTTTAAACCAATGACAAGACATGTAATGCTATATACCTGGACATTTTTACCACATCTTAACTGTAGCCTTTTTCACCTTTTACAATGAGGGTGATTTCATCATGACAGCGTATGTTATACAACATCCCTTATACGGTAATTACATATGAAGGGCGAAATTAACATTGGGGAAACTTTTACCCGTGAAGGGCGAATGTTTTGTGCAAAAGATTCTCTATATACAGTAGTCCAATGAAAAGGACCAAGAGTTTATGCTAAGTAAGTGAGTAAGTGATAATAATATTTTTTTTCTTGTTTTGTGTGACACAGGGCAGCAGCTAAGTGTAACAAGGGAGTAGAAGTTCTCTATGTTTTGTTTGTCGAGGACTTCTTCCTTGTAGCAGTGAAGGTGTTGAGGGGACCAAAGTTTGCTGATAGTTGTACTGACCGTATCAGACGTCTGCTGCACTGTCAAATGTGTGAGGAACGTGTCTTCTACCCCCTCACCAATACCCCAATAGGTATGTACAGCTTTGTGCTACAGTTGTTGAACAGGTGTATTTTTTATAATATAGAACAAGTAACTGTAATAATATATACACTAGATATTGTTATGGAACATTGTGACAAGTTCACCACAATCACCTAATTCATGCCATAACAACCAAAATCATGTAACAGAAGTATTTATCTGTCGTCTTAAGTTTATACTAAAATTTTCAATGATGAACAAGTTGATGGTATGGCCGTGTGTATTTCTTGTTTCCTGGGTATGAAAAAAGGCAATAGTCCTTTTAACTCATTCATCCCTACATATTTAAACTGGACTTGTCCAGTCTTTGATTTGGTAAGGTTCAAATGTGACTTTAGGGGTGAATGGGTCAAAGCATTTTAAAAGTTTAGAGGCTAATCCAGATTAGCTGCTATAAACCGGAGGCCATGGTGGCCATCATGGATTTTTTCATCTGTCCAAAAAGTGAACTCTTCATGATGAGAAACAAAACCATGGTGTTTTCCAATCTGTATACTTTTGCCCCATACCAAATATTTAATAATATATAATAAAATGATTTTAATAGATAGAGGTTAATATATTTATCTAGGTGATCTGTCTATCAAACACCTTGGGTGCCATCTTGGATTTTGGATACCTTCACAAACTGTTGTTAGGAGAACGTATTGTGTGGGATTGTAAGAAGGCATGTGAATTGTGCGAGAGTTAACTGACTACATGATAAGTTTATTATATAATATTTGCACAATTTACCAGATAATAGGCTTTACTCATGTTTTGTATTTCAGAACACCCATATACTTTACTGCCTTGTAGGTGTCAGGACACCACACCGGGGAAAACAGCACTTGTTCTAGGGCCAATGTGGTAGGTTTTTAATGAAATATAGGATGGGGTTTTAATACAGCTTTCTTGTGACTGGTTTATTTGTGCGAGGCTAGGTAAATGGTTGTGTTAGGTGTGTGAAGCAAGGAAAGATGATCTGTTTGACATGACTCGGGAAGTTATGCTTTTCTTTTTCACGATTCTACAATAAACATAATGTAATATGTTTTGTAGTCTACTGTTAATATGAATGTGGGATTTTAGCAAATTTGCAAAAGAAGGTTTTCATGGAAATTCAATTACTTGAAAACATTCCTATCCATTTTTATACGCCCGTCAAAGATGGTATGGCGTTGTCCGTCCGGCGTAAACTTTAGTTTGTCCGGCAATCTCCTCCTTCATTTTTCGACCGATCTCTTTGAAACTTGGTATACATTATAATCATGATATGAAGTTGTGTTTCCCTCAAAAGAATTTTAATTCGACAATTGTTCCAAAAGTTATTGCCCTTTGTTCATTTCAGTATTTGATTTTTGTCCGGAGATCTCCTCCTTCATTTTTTTGACAGATTTCTTTAAAACTTAGTAGGCTAAATAATCATGATATGTTGTTGTGTTTCCTTGAAAAGAATTTTGGTTCGACAATTTTTGCAAAAGTTATTGCCCTTTGTTCATTTCAGTATTTGATTTTTTTTATCTGGAGATTTTCTACTACATTTTTAAAGCATGTCGGCTAACCACTCTTTGAATGATGCCGATCTTATTTCAATGCAAGAAAGTATATAACACTATATGGCATGCGACGGGCGTATATTATTCCGCCCCGCGGTACTCTTGTCATTATTTATTCTTTTGTCAATCCATCAGTCCACCCTTTAAGGGCTCCTAGTGCTTTGATTTGTAGGAAAGTTAATACTGTAAACTGCTTAATTTTTCCATGTGTACTTTATTTTAAGAACTATGCCTGGAGGTTTTATTGATATAATGTAGATGTATAAGAACTGGTATTTGATTGAATGATATTTCAAAATTGATAATACCAATTTACTCTAAGAAAACAATTTTTATGAAGGATTTAGATATGTGGATGAGTAATTTTTAGCTTTAACATAAAAAATAACCCTGTGTGAAAATAAAGTGATATACAGGATTTGAAAACAACTGCAGATAACTAACTGTTATATAACCTAAAAAGAGTATAATATCTTGATGGATTTTATCAACAGGTCAGGAGAATTGTTCAGCTCAGTCTTTCTCGCTAGAAACTTAATAAATGCCAAGGAAGAACAATTCTCTAAAAAGCTACACAGTATATGGACAGTCATGTTGGATGAGGTGCGATGTGTTCAGAGTATAGTTCCCAAAGAAACAGAAAATGGAAGTAACCCCACGGAAGAACCTTGTGTAAAACGACAAAAACTGTGTGACTCAGGAGTTTCACAAATGTCAACAGAGTCTGGGAGTGACCATGAACAAATGCCACCGTTCTTCTATAATGTTCTACGAAGGAAGTGGAAAGGAATAGATGTTCCAAAGTAAGAAAAAACATTTTATATTAGGAATTTCTAGTTTATTGTCAATTTCCGAATAAATGCCATTAAAGATACATTTTCCTATACCTTTAAGGTTAATAATGTTTATTACCAATCCATGTTTTGTTTTATCAAATAGTTTTTTATTTCGTACCATATTGTAAAAGGCATTTGTCTCTCTTGTAGATATCCGGTACTGCTAGATCTCCTGCATAGGGAGGGACATCGAGCATCTCGTACCCATTTTGACTTTGGTGGTATCAGGACTAGTGCTACTCTGACTGATGTGACATTGATTCTGTCTAAACACTGTCAACTAACACAACAGAGCAGTGTACCAGTAGAGTGATGGTGTAAAACAGAACTTGTGCCTGGGTTATATTACTTATTTGTTGAAGGACACAGACATGTAGCCCAATTTTCCTCTGGCCACGACACCAGACTTAACAGTAGGTAGTCGCTTGATAGTAGATTTTTGTTGTCAGCATTTCCAAAGTCTCCAATACCAAACGGTGTCGTACAGTTCCATGTTTTCATGTAGTAGTGTGCTCTGGCCCCACATCAGACATCTATCTGTCAAAATGTCTAAGTTTTGTGTCAGGGCCAGAGGAAACTTGGGCTAACACACATGTTGATATCCAATTATCATTGCCTTAGGATTAAATATTAAACTACACGTTTTATACATAGGGATGTTTTTCTTTTGTGATTGATCCTCCCACATCCCTGAGTATCAATGTGTTGTAATTGATAAGGTTTTGTAGACCAAATAATGGAAAAACCTGACTGTCGGAAATCAGTATAAAAGCTCACACAAGGCTTATTTAGGAGACTTGAAATAATACATTTCCATTGCTAACCTATAACATAAAGAAATAGATTTAACAAAATATGTTACACAAACCTTTGGAAAACATTAGAATAGTTTATACCAGGAGTAATTTCTTCCTTTACCATTGAAAATTCACATTTGCCGAGTATTAATTTTGCTTCACATGTTATCACCTTAGATGGTATGCTTTGTACCAAAGATTCACTGTCTGGTTAAATTTGCCTTCATCACAGTGGACCAAAAAGGCAAAAGCTAAACTACAACAAGAAGTTCCCTGTATTTTGTAATGAGAATTTGGAGTATCATATCATTTATTACCTTTGTGACCAAAGATAAAAGTCATCTGTTTGGTATGTTGATCTGCTCCTCGTCTGGGCAGACTATCTACACTTTAATGTGGTAGATACCGGTGTTTTACTTCTCTGTGCCTATGGGTATTAAGCATTATTACCAAAATAAATACAATTGATAGTGATCGCACAGAACTCGGGGGCCGCAGTGCTCGATTAGTTATGGCGTCTAATAATATGTAATAAACCCTCACCTACTGGGTTGCAGGTTTGAAGCCCACCTGGGTTAGTTGCTAGGTACTGGCTACAGGTCAGTGTTATTTCTCTGGGTAACTCTTGTTGGCTCATTCCCCGAATACCAACTCTGGAAAATTCAAAGGAAGGTGTTTATATAGGAAATCCTTTGAAGTTTAGTTATAGCCTGTTTCAACTAAGAATGTCAACTCATTTTGTAGATATGATACTAAAGTCAATAATAAAATGGATAGAAAGTTTTTATTCATACATATAATAACTGTAATACACATTTGATACAGCACTAAGTAATAGAAAATAATCATTAGATATTGATATTTACATTTTATGAAAAAAAATAGCATTACATTATATGAAAAAAAAGCATTACATTATATGAAAAATAAAAATTCCTTAATACAAGCCACATTGATACTAATGTCAGCAATAAAATAAAGTTAAGTTTCTATTCATACATATAACAGTAATACACATTTAATACAGCACTAAAGGATAATTATTAAACATGAATATAAACAGTAAACCACTAAATGAAGCTGAAGTTTCTAGCACAAATCACATTCTCTATATATATCACTTAAGTCTCTAGCACAAAACACTCTATCCCAGATTCAGAAGCTGTGATGCTGAGTCGGCGTAGGTCGTCAGGTCGATAGTTCCAGTCTGATAACGGTCTTTCAGGGTGTCCAGGCGTCTGTCGATGTTGGCGTATCTCTTCTTTCGGGGTTAAGTAGTGCCTCCTGCATCTCTCTGGATCCGGCTGATGTCATTCACGTTCTGTATGTCCTTTAACGTCTGGATGTTGGTGTAGTTGATGGGGTGGGCATGCAGTACTCTTTTCTTCAGTTTTCCGTGCCAAGCTTCTAGATTGTTGGTAGTCCGAGGTCCTTCTGTTGAGAAGTGGTTCCAGGTTGGTCGGTCTCCTTCTACCCATTGCTCTGTGACGTAGCTGTGAAAAGCAGCACGGAATGTGGTATGTCAGCATCATCAGCATCTTCTATGCGGTCTAAGGGGATGAGTGGAAGAACAGCAGCTCGGCGGACAAGTAGTTTGACGTCATCGTTCTCACGGTACAGTGTCTGGAGTCCGGTTGACTTGGCCTTTCGTCAAATACATTGAGTGTAATGGAAAAAACAGCCTTTTATGTTGATTCCAGGGACGACACTGCGGATGGCGTTGTGTGCTGCTACCTCAAAATCGACGAAGGCTGTTGTGGGTCGGAATGGAATCTGGAAGTTTGCCATGTGCTCCTGTAGAAGCGTGAAGAAACGGTTGTAGATAGCCTGGCTCTTTCCGGGAAGTAGTGCATNTCCAAAGTGTGCTGCTGTTTTATACATTACCCATTTAACAGCTTGGGATCGGAACTCTAAATATTATTGATTCTTTTGCAATTATTAGCAGCTTAGTTAAAAAAAAAAAAAAAAAATCGAACATAGGCATGGTATTATCAATTATCAGGGAGTACACATCCCTGGTATTATGAATATTATTATTTATTTTTTTTATTATTTTTTTACTGGCTACATAAACCAGTATTATATCACTGATATTTAATAATATGTGTATACGTTTGTGAACTTGTATGAACGTCACGATTGTTGTCATTTTGTAAATAATGTATTATTCATGTACTATCATTGTATCATGCTCTCCAATTTTGAGGAAATAAAGATGATATATCAGAAGAACAGCTTGGGATCGGAACTCTAAATATTAATTATTATTTTGCAATTATTAGCAGCTATTGATTATCTGATTAGTTAACAGAAGTTGATTTACCTGTGCAATTTACCCGTACACTTTACTGCAATAGACTATAACCCACTATCATCACAACTGACCACCTATGTAAACATGTGATTTTAAGCAGAGTTGGTATTCGGGGAAGACCCCCTCTTGTTCATCCTTAAATGACCATAGCTGTTAATAGGTTGTAAAACACAAACAAACCAAACCAATAGCACGGAACTCAGTTGCATATTTCATTTAATGTGTATTTGCTGTTGTTAAACGGCTATACATTCCTTAGAGGATGGTATTGGTGAGATTTTTATCAACAGTGATTGCAAATATATGTTGCACACATTTTACAGACTTAACTGGGACAGTTAACAAATGTTTACCCCGCAGTGATTGAGTGCTGAATGATTCTGATGGACAAATTAACTCATATACCCCTGAAATTTCATAATGAACTATTCCAACCGTTGAATTGGAAGAGTTCAAATGTGTCTTCAGATGTGAATGAGTTAACACTGTTATATCTTAACTGGTGGTATACAGATTATCATTGGATTAAATACTATTTATAAAGTGTATCAACAAAAACAATTCAAATAACGTACAAAGGTAACACACCACAATTTAAAAGTTAAATACTCCAGAGTCAGCTTCTAATGGAACAAGTCTCTGAATGTGAGATATTTGAATACACATTCCTGCATGCCAAGAAGGCTCTTCCAAATTTGATTGAATGAATTCAAAAAATTTTGGTAAAAAAACTATGTAGTTTTCAAAGACATTGCATACACCTTAGCTTATTTGCTCTCATTTTGACAAGGCAAACAAATATATCCCTAACAATAAACATATAATAACATTGTAAATTAATTAATAGATCACATTTTATCAATAGATCACCTAAAGTTATTTATAGACTACATTAATTTATTTATAGAACACATAACACGTATATTTATCAATTAATATGAAATACTCATAATCAAAGGCTGAAACCCATAACAAAAAATATGCTTATACTTAGTAAAGACATATAATAGTTAAGTATAGGTGACTGTGATGAACTGATAAAGGGTATTCCGTGTATACGACGTTTAACCAGGATAAAACCATCGGGATTATATTGTATAGACTGCAGACAAATTTTAGTAGGAAGATGGAATGATGTTGGTATTTTTGTAAATAAAACTTTCTGATTATCACATCAATACGTACAAAGTGTTTTTGAGATTAGTTTGGCAATTTAGTGCATTTCTGAAAAATTATGACTAGGAAAAACAAAGTTATCAACTGACTTTGATACTGTTGAAGTGTACAAAGTTTCCTTGAAATTGTATGTAGCAAGGTTTCCGTGGTTTTTCCATTGGTTGCTCTGCTACTTTGTTCTTTGGGAGTCTGAGTACCTTTTGGAACAACCTGAGATCCCCATTTGTTATGGAGCCTCGACATGAAATTTAGAATGTTCATTGTTGCTTATGCAGGTCCTTGCAAGGCTTTGTCAAGGCCGGCCTGAAAGCAGCATCAGATTTCTGGATCTGACTTTATTTCATAAATGAACAACTCGGGTTCAACCGTTTGGATCGCGATTAATGAAAATGACCCGGCAGGTGACACGAGATATAATGGAAATAACAGTAAATGGTATTTCTTCTGTAAGATTATAGCAAGTGATGACCTTTTATTGTGGTTTCAATACATTCTTCATGTTTACACCTATCGCAAACAGGGTATCCCGGTATAATGAGTTCGGACAATTTACCAAACGTGGAAAGGTGGGTAAGCGTGGAAAGGTGGGAAAGCGTGGAAAGGTAAGTGGAAGCTGCAGTTGGTATATTTTAAAAATATTCTTGATACGATGATGTTGAAGTCATATAGGTTAAGGAAACTACTAGAAACCATTTTGTCAGCCATACGTTATTTTGGTCCAAAACAACGAAGGCAACCTTATGCTTTTGAAGGGCACAACGGGGAAGGGAAGTCCGAACTGTTACTGTTAAATGAATAGGCACCAAATTAGATGGCATTTTATCATTACATCCTTATTGTCAGTGCCTTTGGACTGAAGTAGTGGCTGTTTGTTTATTGATACCATATGGACCACCCTCCTTAGGTCCGAGAGGCGCACTGGATAGACAATACCAGTACATACATTAGTCTTGTTGAGAACACGTAAAGAATAAGCACCACACCACTGTCTTACAAATGGCAAAAAATGTCATTCAAAGGTGTAGAAGGTGACTGCGCCATCCTGATGCACGAACACAAGGTTGTTGCCATACCTGATCACCCTCCGCGCGTTATCAAGGATAGGCACGTCGTCCACCTGCTGAATGACCTCGCCAGAAAAGGAAAGAGCGATCAACTTCCTGAATTTGGAGTTGAGGACGAGGACGAGTTGATGCGATTCTAGGACCTCAACACACTGTGGGTCCTGTAGCTGCACTTGTTCATTTCCGGAAAACATCTTGTACATTCCGTTGTCGGCATTGACAAGAATGGCACTACGAGTGTCAAGGTCACACACGACTATTGTCCCTTCGTCTGTCACCGATATGTTCCTGGGATATGTAAACAGTGGTTTTCCAAAGGAATCGCTCTTGAATGACTTCAATACAACACCACTGGTGTTCAGTATGTCGATGCTAGGTCCACCATACGGGGGACAGATACCACAAATGAAATTGTTTTCTCTTTCAAAATATGTTATACTTGCGTAGCTTGCTGCAACATTTATTTTGCCAACCACCTGTATCTGTGATGTATGTCGTGCACGTCCTACAAATGCCAGAATTTTCTCCTTTGGTGCAGCCACAACACAGCGACCCACAGCATAGGATGCGATATCCCAAGGCTGGAAGGAGTGACACGCAACCACTTGTTCTATCCGACGAAAGTCTTTAGTGATCACCTTTAAATTATTGTTCCATTTATCTGCTAGTATGAGTCTACGTCCAATAACTGCAATCCCAATAATTCTTGGGGTTCGTGTGTCACCTTCAGCCTTGCAATCCAGCATGGATTGGTACTGTACGTTGGCTATCTTCTGTGTGATTTGTGGCATTGCCCTTTCATGGGGAACGAGGACGCCGACCTTCGGAATTGTCATAGCAACAGGTGGAGGTCTCGTGAATAGTGTACCAGGTTGCTGTTGTGCTTGCAGTGGTGGCGCTGATGGTCTCGGCCTCCGGTTTTGTCGGCGTGACGTTGGTGGGTCGATTTCTATCAGATTGGGTGAGTAGGGAGGAGGTGGACCAATATCATCGGGAATATTTTGTGGACTTTTTGGCCGTGTCCGGGGACCTCGGGTCGGCGGTCTCAAACTTCTGTTCTGCGATTGGCGTCCAGTGTCTGTGTATGGTGACGGTTTTGGTCTTCTCTCCTTTGTTCCTGTTCGCCTCTCTGATGATTCTGATCTAACGCTAGGTAACCTGCTATTATCAGAGCGACCTTCGCTTTCTGCCGAGTTAGATCGACGAACTCGAGGTCGATTTTCAGTCTCTGACAAACTGCTCTGCTGACTACTTAAAAAACTTTGGTTTTCTGGTGAGGAAATATTGTGAGTTTCAAACATGGCAGGAACTGGGGCCGAATGGCAGCTGTTGACTAATTCGATTTTCACTAAGTCACTCTCCGTCAACATGTCCTCTAAGTCTGTGTTGATCATGAATCTCAGCGTCAAATCTTTCAATGAGACGCTCTTTAAATCTTGCATTACCGTCCTATATTCACTTACGTTGTTCATCATGTGCATCTGTAAGTTAAGACTCTCAGCTTGTGAAAGAACTTCGCCAGTGTTTTCAATTATATTTGCCAGGACATTTTTACGCCGCTGGAGTGACGTCAGCATTGAAGAGGTGACAACCAGACGCTGAAGAATGCAGTCCGTCTCTTTTTTAATGACTACCTCTAGATGGGATAAAACTTTCTGTTCCTGTTCTTGCAGATAATGCGTTACTTTCTCCAGCAGTTCTGCATAATATGCCTTTACTTTGTCGGTGGTTAAATCTTTTGACGATAGCACATCATTTTCTTTAGATTGCAAAGTAGACTCAATGCCACACAGCTCCACTGCCATTTGCCCTAACGAATACTTTAGCGTTTGCGATTTCTGTTTGCTGGCCTGTTGTATGGCTTCCGAACCATCCTGTAAATTAACTAACTGACAGCTGTCGTTTTGGTGATTCTCGGAGCGACAATCCTTACATACTCCAACAGCACACTGTATACAGAAATGTGATGCGGTTTCCCCCGGATGCATCGGACATTCCAGCTGATCAGAAGTGGCAGATTCCGATGCCGGAGAGTTGACACAGTCACAAAGCTTCTGTATGAACACGTCCTCTGGTAGTTGGAAGGAATCTGTTATGTCTACAGTATCGTTCACGCACGTGTTGCTGTCTTGACACACAGGACAAGAGAACGAAGCCTTGCCCGTGAAAGAACACATGTAGTTTGCGATACAGGCTGCACAGAACGAGTGCTGACATCGTAGCTTCTTGGGGAACTTTTTTGTGTTCCTACATATCGGACAAGTGACCATGGCTCGAACCGCATCTCCTTCCATGGGCGTGCTGTATAAAAAGTCCCTTCAACAACTGATTACTTCGTCCTAAGTTTATATCTCCTGTCTTCAAGTCTCGAGTTCTCTGAATTCAGTCTGAAAGTAAAAGTTAATCTACAGTACACGTGTGAAAACCACATCATACATTGCCATAAAAAAATATTATAAAACTATTGATGCCACAAATAATTGTCCCATCAGCATTTATTATACAGGCTTTCGTTTTGGACAAATATAATTGCGTGTTAAGGATGTACACCTCTGAGAAGTCAAAAATTTCTTGTATTAAACTTTTTTTCTTATATGGATTTTTGGAAAAAGGAATTAATGGCATAGTAGAAAATGCAAAAACAAACATATGTCCGTGTGTCCGTTTTTGTGCTATGATCGGTCAAAGATACCAATTTAACACAACATGTGATTTTAGGTGATTTTTTGGGTTTTGACCATTTGCAGAACAAATTCATACAATTTCTTCCAAGTGTGTTATCAGATATGTATGAATGTTTGTAGAATTGATGAAAATATTATTTTCTTTTAAATTATGGAAGTAAAAATTCTTAATCTTATTCTTTTAACTCAGAAAGCCGATTTTAGTTACCCCTACCCCCTATTTTTTAAAGAAAAAATATTATTTTTTACCATTTTTTTTACAGATTTAACGCTTGATATAAAAAGTTCTGGTATTTAACTTTTTTCTAATATTTAATGAATTAAGTGAAAATGTGTTTCTCTTTCTAAAACATCTACAAAAATGGGGGGTCAGTGTGGTTCTTTTTTGTCCCGTTATCATTTGTGTTATTTTTTACTTTTTTCGGTGTCAAAAATCAAAAGTGCTTCAGTTACACTAAATACGTAAAAAAATATCAATGATGTATAATTTTTCAGTTTGTTGCATATTATTTTTATCATATTGTACATTATAAAGTTGTACAGCAAAATTGAACCTGTTACAATTAAAAATGGCGAAACAATGACAATTTAAGTGATCAATCTAGTGTCAAAAAAGGTGAAATTTTGGCCTTTTTTGAAGCGCAAGAAATACACATTAATTCACATTTTCAAAATGGCCGCCGAATTGGTAATTTTTTTAAATTCTTGTAAAAAAAAGTTCTACAAACAACAGGCATCTAGTTTTTTGACATATTTTTCGGATGCGTGTTTGCTAATAAACTTGATCATAATTTGTTAAATATTACAAAAACCCATTACACCAGATCAAAACGAGACTTGAACGTGATTGAAACCTCAGAAGAGTACATCCTTAATCGGTAATAATAATCCTTCTCCCAGCTATATCATAACGATCGAATTCCACGAATGTATGCCTATATATACAGCAGAAATTACTCGTACACAGAAAAACTGTCTGCTATCACGCTTTAGGGAGCTGTAAGGAGATTAATAGAATATTCACCTAACGTGAGGGTGTGACAAAGAAAGCTCCAACACGAGGGGTTATGTTTTTTGGTTATCTAACCTAAGAGCCTAGGGTTAGACAACCAAGAAACATCACCCCTCGGGTAGCCTCGTGTTAGACAACCAGAAAGCATCACCCTCGGGTAAGACACCCCCCCTCCCCCGGGTTGGATATTTCTCCATCACATCCTCAAGGTAGGGGGGAAGATTCTATTATTCCTTTATATAAATAAACAAAACATATTCCATCCTCTAACCAAGTCAACTAACAACCCGGACTACAACGCATAAAACTACAGAGCACTTGCTTTCAATTCTACAACTTCAAGGAATTCCCATTTTTAATTTGCCACAACACCCCCTGCAATGTTATCAATAAGTGACAGCTATCTATCCAATTAGACCCATTAAGACCCGGCCTGTAAGTTACATTATACCTGTGTGACACTATGACCCTATAGGAACACGTGCACATTCATGATGGCGTCTGTCGTATATGTACCTATAGATTTTGTATAAAATACAAGAAACTTGATTTTTGTCGTATATATGTAACATGAAACATTAGCTCTGAAGAGCTATCCTTACGACAGAACATATAGAAGTATCACAGTGGGCATCAATGTAACAAAACAGGCATCAATGTAACAAAACTGGCATCAATGTAACAAAACGGGCATCAATGTAACAAAACAGGCATCAATGTAACAAAACAGGAAAACGGGCATCAATGTAACAAAACGGGCATCAATGTAACAAAACGGGCATCAATGTAACAAAACAGGCACTACGAAACAAAGCCACGACAAATTGAAATAGAAGTATACAAACATACAAGTAAAAAAGACAAGTTTGTGAAAAAGCAAACACAAAAAATAAGACCACATTTAACTTTAATCAGATATTCATGCGGGAGTATCTAGACTCAATGCGGGAGTATCTAGACTCAATGCGGGAGATCTAGACTCAATGCGGGAGTATCTAGACTCAATGCGGGAGATCTAGACTCAATGCGGGAGTATCTAGACTCAATGCGGGAGTATCTAGACTCAATGCAGGAGTATCTAGACATCAAGTTGCACGAAAATTTGGTTGCAATGCATGCCTAGTGTAACGACCGATGTATTGTCCACTTTCACGCTTAATCGATGTAAATGATGTAAATGCTTCTCAATAAATATGCACAGATTTCGCCAAACATCGAATATTTGAGAAATATATTTAGGTATCATATGAACTTTATGTTTAGAATAAGATTATAAGATAATCTTCTGTATTAATTGTAAGTAAGGTGTTTTCGGCTTAAACTGCAAGTAAATACATCCATATAAAGGTGACTGAGAAATGAGGGTAATACTCAGGACAAAATATATTTATATCATAAAAGAAATTAACTTTAATAAGTTCAGACAGAAACATCAACTTAGATTCACAAAAAAAAAAGGGACAAAAAATATATATTTATAAGCTCTCCAATTTTTACCTAAATATTGTATTATGCAAAAACTGTTATCCGGTCGACGCAGTACGCAGTATGTTATATAAATATTCCTCATTACATGTGACACAAAAATGGACTTGAGCAAGACTGTAATCCGACATGACTTTTGTATTTTATTTTTGTTGGGGGAGGGGGATTAAACTGTTCTTTTCTTTGTGATTTGATGCGTTAGATATTTTTGACAACTGTCATAATGGGATGTACCAAAAATTAGGTTGAGTTGCTGTAACCACTACTGGTCGGACCGGATCAACCCATTAATGGGAAAAACGCGGAAAAACTATCCGGAAGGGAATGTATAAATTACGTAGTAACAATGCTCTATAATAAATTCACAAAGGGAAATGTTAACAAAATGTATTTAATAATTGTTTTTATATCGTGTTTATAACAGGTATGTGTCCGGTAGGTCGTATAACAACGATGCTACATGTGTACCTGGTATGACGTATACAGGTAGTCAACCCAGGTGACCTAATTATAGTCAGATAATATCTACACAAGTGCTGTGGCACATCGGCACATATACATGCTAGTACACGATCATACGTACATTGTTGAAACTGGAGACATAATGCATTCCTACAATTGTATCTAAAACCCTAGCTACCTGACAATAGCAAATGTGTGGTATTAACTCACCTGTACGTCTGTCAATATAAAACATGGTGTCCTTTTGTATGGTATAACCATTCGTTTTGCATTTGTAATGGGACATTTAAATGGCACATAGGCTTGCTATGGTGCAAGCGAGAAGATTTGAATTATAATGATTAATGTTCCAAGGGAACCAAAATATGTTCAAAGCTATTTCTAACGGTTACCAAATATGTGTGTGTACCAGAACTGGACTGGTCGACCGCTCAATTGGTTAAAGCGTCCGTCTTCGGCGATTTCAGAGGCTCCCGGGTTCGAATCCTGGTCTGGCCATTGCATTTCTGTTTCCCCTGTTACAAATTTTGGCGCCCAGCGAAACATACCCACGGAATGTGGTATAGGGTATCGATTAGTTAACTCATATTTTGAGACAGGGAGAGAGAAACTTGCCGAGAGAAGAAAAAAGACACGGCAAACATTTACTAATTTATACAATACGCAATACTTTCACGCTCACCTGTCTTTTTTAATTATTACCACCCACAGTTGAAAATAATGAACAATATCATTTTCGAAATCAAGAGAATTATAGAATTATTTTTTTTACTGTCTTTCATTAATATTAGAATCTTTTTTACATTCGTCTCTCCAAACTTTGAACAATTTAGACAATTCTATCTACTACTCCAACTGTATATATGCAATCGACTTATATAATTTAGAGATCGAAAGTTTGATATTTGCATACAAAGCTTTGCTCTATTTGTAGCAGAATAAATCACGATTTTTTTGGAACAAGACTAACTGACGGCCCGGCATGTAGCTGTGGACATCAATGTGAAAACCCCTATACCTACCTCCTGGAGTGCCACCTCTATGTAGATTCGAAAAATAATCATTTCTATGCATGTATTTAAATCAATAAATGTGACACACTAATCAGACCATTTTACTACGAATGAAATGAAAACCAGTCGGTTGAATAAAAAAAAGAAGTGTACAAAAAGTTTATCAGTCCGGGAGAAGGTTTTGAGTTCTTGTTTAACCATCAGTAATCGACACTAAATAAAAGATGTTTGTATCTTCTTGCATCTTGTATCAGGGAGTAAGCCGAGCTAGGCGGATTCACACGTTTATCAAATTTTAAAGGTGCTGTCACATATATATATATGTGGCTTACGTTCATCTTTCTAGATACAAGGTGGTAGTGACACTAAATCCTGGTGGATGCCTTGATAGCCACAGTGGTAAATTTGGGTAGTGGCACGGTTCATAATATAAACACTTTGCCCATTATTTATTTGATATAATGTAGTACTCCTCTAAATTTACCGAAGGACAGTATGGTGCAGTGTTTTTCTTTTTTAGTATAGTTATTTAAATGTGCTGTTAGTGTCTGACGTTCATCTCTAATATCAACCTCCCCACGGTCTAGGGGAGATAACTTTAGTACCTGAAGAGTCTAGATCACACAGGCGCTTCGAACAGGAAGTGGAAAGGAAACAAAATGGCCGAAGTAGCACAACTTCTCGAGCAGGAGATTCCCGAGGGGCGCCAGCACCTACAGGAGAGCTTTAACAACCTTGAAAATGTCGCAAAATATTGTCGAGAGAATTATCTTTCGGTAATTATATGAATTGTACATTACAATTAGCTGTTTCTTGATTCTGACATGAAGAAATATCTGTCAAATCTACATTGTTGACGTTTTTCGCAGACACACCTTTCAGAAATGAAATATATTACAGAAGTCCAATATAGCAAAACAAAGAGATACTTTGACAAATTTTCTCAAATTATTAGAACTGATATCAGAAATCGGGTTCAGAAAATGGATAGAAAATCTCGCCGCTAAAGTTGCTAAACTCCGGACTGCACTGTTTCATTGTTGACATTGCAAATCAATTAGCATTATTCATTCCAACTTATATATACTGGATATGTAATTGAACTATTGAAACGCTTTCAGTTGGCATTCATACTGCCAATTGAAAGCAGTTCAATACTTATATTTACTATATTTGAAATCTGTTCATCTCATAAAAAATTAGACTTCTTATTGTTCAACATTTATATAACAAGTTCAACTAATGTATTATCGTGTATGCTTTTTCAATAAATAGAATAGCTATCACCCAGGGAGGGTCAGTGGTATCCAACGTAACAATTATGACGTCAAAATAATGATGACGTCAACAATCGGTCCATGGCATTCAAAGCCAAACTGAATGCCAACTGAATTTGGTAGTGTTATATAGTTGCAATATACCATACGATGGTAAATATATAAAAACTATAATGACATAATTTGATGTTTCTTACCTATGAAGTTTATAACCTATCATTTCTGAAAATGGTTAATGTTGACGGTTCAAAAATATAATTTTCAAATATAAATATTGATATTTCCTTTGATATGTTTAGGCGACCAATAAGAAACAAGCTTTGGAGGAGACTAAGAACTACACCACCCACTCCCTGGCTAGTGTGGCATACCAGATAAACAACCTGGCCACTAACTTCCTTAAACTCCTCGACCTACAACAGAGTCAGACCATGGAAATGGAATCTAGCGTGAATTATTTGGCACAGGTAAGGCAGTGTCTGGTTAACTGAGTCCTATCTCAATTATCCAGCACAGGTGTTAAGTCATTGTGACAGCTTAACATAGAACTACCCTGGTAAGTACACATAATATAGGTGGCCATGGTCAGTAAGTCAAAGAAGTAACACATATTGAATCAATGGTTTGTGTTACCATAAGTTCAATCCTCATAATAAGCCTAGTGTTACAGAGGGACATAATACATGTTGGGCTACTAGTAATGCACATATAAGAGTACAAGTATAACAGAAATTGACTAGAAGATTAAAAACAAGTTTTTCATTTTGTTGACTTCATTACTATATCAATGATTATAAACAAAGCGTGAATCAACGTAGAATTATATAATCTTGTGTTAAAACATTCAATCTATCATCAGAATTAATTTTTATCAATTATGTAAAAGTAATGCAGTATCAGAAGGTAAGGTATAACAGTATCTGTACTCACAGTCATACAGCTGACAACATTTCTGTTGTTTTACTTCGTGATACTAGACCAAGGACAACTGAGATAGAGGAGCACTAGCTAGTGGATGACTTTTAGAGTTTATTTTTATAATATTTCAAAGTAAGTATCTAAACTTGATATTGAAAACCTGTACAAACAATGTGTTAACAGAAATTGCTTTAGATTAAAATTGATTTTGTTTTCAGACTGTAAATATCCACAAGGAGAAGGTAGCTAGAAGAGAGATAGGTGTTCTTACCACTAACAGGAACACTAACAGGCCCCTGGGAGTGAAGAATGGTATCATATTTCCTGAGCAGGCAGAGCGTCCTACAAAGTACCAAAGGAAGGCAATAGACTACACAGTGTTGGATGAAATAGGCCATGGAGTCAAAGTGAGTGGGGGGTCAAGGTGTTACTTATCTCCCCCTGATTCAAACCCAGAATTTTACCAAATAATTAAAATTTTATGCTGTATTAGTGTATCTGGCCCCAGATCTAGAAAACTTCTTGACTTTGTAGATACTCTTTACTTTATCTTCCAAAATTTCAGCATTCATCTCAATTGCTTCGAAATTTTCGTTTTCTTCAATACCTTTGAAAAATATAAAACAAGTTTTGAAGACAATGAATATTAATATACCTTGTTTGAATTTAACATTTTATAAAGTCTACATAAGTAAATTGATCTGATTCTAGGAAACGTTAATATTCTGACCGTCAATATAAGAACTTCCTAGGTACTGGGACCCGACTTTGACTGTGACACATGCTTTGCCTGTAAATTAAGTGTCACCCTTTTTCCTTACTTCATTTGAACCATTTTTTGAGCCCATTTGAGGAAACAGTGATGAAAAAATGTTTTATGTTTTAGAAAGTTTAACATTTCTTGATTTCAGAGGTAATTCTTATAAGTTTCTTTAAAGAAATTATAGCTATCATAAAAATAGTTTGCATGACATTGAAGATTGTTTTCTTCCAAAGTGTATTTAACTTATAAAGTTTCCTGGTCCTATTGATGCACTGAGTCTCTAAATTTACACTTATTCAATCTGGAATTATTACAAACCTAATTAAAAATGCCATTATGAACAGGATTTTTGACACATGTGTCCAAAGGAATAGGCTCTATTAAAAACATTTAAAAAACGTTATGAAACGGCAGTCATAATATCTGCATCGTGATAACATTGATATGTATTTTCCATTGATTAGGGTACAGTGTCATTGCATGAAGTAGGAACCTGTTGTTTTTATGTCAGTTATTTTATCTCTCGCATCAGTGAAATTTATTGCATGACTATATATATATTGTTAAACAGATTTGTTCTATCCACTATGTCTGTATATATTTGTTGTCTTGTTTGTTAAAGCATGTCATTTATCTCCCCTTTAGCAACAGTTTATTATCTCAAAAAGTGTCTTTTTTGTATTTGATGTTTTCAAATAACCAAGAATTGAAATTGGAGCTAATGAATATTCTTTTCCAAAACAGTCTTATGTGTACCAAATAATAATTATTTGATGCATCAAGAAAGGGGAGATAATTTATAACTGTGGCGTGTGTTGTTAAAGTGCAAGTTTTTTTCAGGTTCCGGAACAAGGAATTATAAAGGTAGGATTAGGAAGTGCACATTACTTTCTTCCCTGGAGCTGGACACATTTTTATAATGCTTAAATCATTTTCATAAAGAAATTATAGACTAATGCTTTGTCTTTAAAATATTACCATTTCTGTGTGATTGATATCTGTATAAATAGTTGTGATTTCAAAAGGGAAAAAAACAAAAAGGATTGTGCACACAGTGAAATACTGACACTCTTTAATTTGATACGAAAAGAGTTTCTGTTCAACTTAGTTTTTGTCCTAATTTGCATGAATTGGTCGGCTTAATTGTGCTTATGATAAACTCTAGTTTTATACATTGTTTGATTTGCGTTGGAGTTGTCTCCACTATCAAGCATCATATAATTCAGAAACAACAGGATGCTGTGATCATGCACATTCTTGAGTACCTGTCTTTATCACATTCTTGAGTACCTGTCTTTGTCCTCAATGTAAGATTTTATTTAGAGTGGAACTCTTCTTTAATGGAGGTTGATATCACAGTAAGGCAGTGCATATCCTTAATATCCATGTCCCAAGGTAGCTTATACCCTTAATTGGTCTGTTGCTTGGGATATGGGTCTGATGACATAATGAGTTAAAGCAAAATTCTATAAAAAAAAAACCAAAAGGAATTGAATTTGAAGAATTACACTTTTCTATTGAATACAAAGACAGGGTTAAACCCTATGGGGAATAGACATTAGGCCGAGAGCCCTGCCCATGGGTGGAGGTTAACACAAGGATACCTTTTTGGCACCACATGATAGGCTAATGTAGATTTATAACCCTGGTGGGCAGTACAAAGACGTGGTGGACAGTTGAGATAAACATACCTGTATTTTAGATCTGTAATTACATAGATGTGATCCCCATCTTCTATATAAACTGTTTTACAAGAGTTCTTACTGCTGTAGAAAAATAACTTCTTAGAGGTTTAAACCTATTAACTAAATTTTACTTGTATGGCTATTTACAGGTATTAAAGAAGGGGCCGAGTATTGACTCCACCTTCAAACTTAATTTACAAATTAAGATTTATTTTAGGTATAAACTGATGTGTCACACAGAATTTTGGTATTATGTTTTAAAAGGCATTGTATTTAGAGGTACAGCTCATATTAATTAAATTCAATGTAGTTTTAGACTCTGTTTTCTTAAACCAACCTAAATTCAGACACTTTGAATAGTCATGTATGTAAACATCAGAGAAAACATTTCAAGACAATATATAAAACTGAAGACTGATAATAAAATGTGTTACCAACTGACAAATATCTATGTTTTGATATTTTGTCAATATTTAACCCAATATGAGTAGTAGTACAGGCATCACAAGTGTGGTTTTCCATGAAAGGCAAATCTTATTCTCCCACAAATTGATTCACATTTCTGGTGTTTCTCTTGCAATATTCATGAATGGTACAATAGCAAGTCTTTTTCACGTGTTGCAGACTATCTTCCCTAAATTTATGAAAAAAATGTCTGAATTAAGGTTTTTGCTAGAATTTTGAGTGTAGTACTTAGTGTGGCTTTGTGGTGGTAGAGTGCTGTATACATGTACTTTAAGTAGTTATTAGTGTGAACTTGTGTGGTGGTAGGGTGCTATATAATACCAGGTAAGGTCATTAGCATGCATCCTTCTGAAAAATAAAGATTCTTTTACTAAATGAAAATAATATCCCTTTAGCTACATATCTACATAACTGAATTACCCCCTACTCATTGTTTTATTAGTTGTAATAATAAATCATCTATACTTCTATGAATTTTGATCTTTGTTACATTCTCTTCATTGCATATATTCAGGATCCCCCTAACACTGCCAAAAAATGAAACTATGCATTTGAAAGTTATTTTTCTGGCATGACTATGACTTTGATAAATCAATTTGAATAGAAATGTATACCTTGCAGGACTTTTATGAAAATATAATGGAGATGAAATAAACAAAATTATAAAATAATTAGAGGGGCCTGACCAGTATTCAAACCCTGGACTTCAGATTATTATACCATCGCTGAAACTGATGGAGCTATCTGGACAATGGAATATACGAGCCCAAATGAGCTACATTACAGCCAAACAGAAGTTAAGGGGAGGTTACTCTATATAGGACAACGGTAGTGCAGTGGGACAGGTATCCTTAACCCTTTCACCAAGGAATCCCGGTAAAACAGGATTAGAAAAGCTTCTTCCTGATGACGAATCCCTGTACCTACTACAAAAACCTTACAGCATAAATTGTCTCCCCTGCACTAGCATACGTTTGCATAGGTTATTATATTAATGATATACCAAAGCAAAATTAGTAAATATATAGTATTTTAAAGGTTTACTTTTAAAAAAAAAAAAACTAAAAAAGGAAGCCATTGTCTTGAAGTTGATTTTGTGTGGGGAATGGTCGGTGAAAGAGTTTTTTTCTCCATTCTTAAGGACCATGAAACGTTTTAGACATAAGTCTGTGTACTCCAAATTTCAAGTATCTATGAAATAAATATTATTCATGGAAATCATTCTATTTGGAGAAAAAAGTCTGACAATATGTACAGTCTTGGACAATATTTAAAATTTGATCAAAGACCTAACATATTCATTATTCCCTGACCACACCTAATCACTACATTGATTTTACTTTTACCTTGTATCAATCATTTGATCATTTTATTTTTAAAGATTTACTAAAAATTGCCATGAATGGATATACCAGGTATATATAAATAAAAAATAAACAACATTTCACCTGCTTTTTCAGTACTGGTGTAATTCCTCACACAGATAAATATCAATCTAATATATTGGTATTTTGTTCATCTTCTCGCACTAATCATATCTTCACATTGTTGTATGTAGCAAATAACTCCTGCCAATATATTTCACCTTATCTATCTTCTTTCCCAAATCTGAAACCTTAAAAACATTTCATTATAAAACAGTAGATGTTGAATTGTAGTCCAGATATACAACACCTGCAGATCCCTGAAAATAACTGGAGATACTGATACCTGAAAATAACTAAACCTGAAAATAACTGAAGAGAGACATCAGATTACCTGTAAAGATACATAAAAAACATGTACGGATATACATTAGATATGTCAAAATACCTGTAATGTAAACTCTAGATACATCAGAATACCTATAGCTATAGAAATACATCAGAATACCTATAGCTATAGAAATACATCAGAATACCTATAGCTATAGAAAAACATCAGAATACCTATAGCTATAGAAATACATCAGAATACCTGTAGCGATAGAAATACATCAGAATACCTGTAGCTATAGAAAAACATCAGAATACCTATAGCTATAGAAAAACATCAGAATACCTATAGCAATAGAAATACATCAGAATACCTATAGCTATAGAAATACATAAAATACCTGTAGATATATATATATATATATATATATATAGAAAAAATAAGACTAACGACCGACTAAAAAACTAGCTGCTTTCACCCTTCACAGGGCTCTTCAGGTTTCAATATAATTGAATATAATTGAACAGCATACATTGTCTCCCGAGGCTCTTCAACCTGAAGAACCCTGTGAAGGGTGAAAGCAGCTTGTTTTTTAGTCGGTCGTTAGTCTTATTTTTGCTATATTTACTTCCTTCACATGGACATTTAATCCCTTTTTATTATATATATATAGATACCTCAGAATACCAATAGCTATAGAAATACATCAGAATACCTGTAGCTATAGAGATACCTCAGAATACCTGTAGCTATAGAGATTCCTGAAGCATACCTGTAGCTATAGAGATACCTCAGAATACCTGTAGCATACCTTTAGCTATAGAGATACCTCAGAATACCTGTAGCTATAGAGCTACCTCAGAATACCTGTAGCTATAGAGATACCTCAGAATACCTGTAGCATACCTTTAGCTATAGAGATACCTCAGAATCCCTGTAGCTATAGAGATACCTCAGAATACCTGTATCTATAGAGATACCTCAGAATACCTGAAGCCATAGAGATACCTAAGAATACCTGTAGCTATAGAGATACCCCAGAATACCTGTCGCTATAGAGATACCTGTAGCATACCTGTAGCTATAGAGATACCTCAGAATCCCTGTAGCTATAGAGATAACTGTAGCATACCTGTAGCTATAGATATACCTCAGAATACCTGTAGCTATAGAGATACCCCAGAATACCTGTCGCTATAGAGATACCTGTAGCATACCTGTAGCTATAGAGATACCTCAGAATACCTTTAGCTATAGAGATACCTCAGAATACCTGTAGCTATAGAGATTCCTGAAGCATACCTGTAGCTATAGAGATACCTCAGAATACCTGGAGCTATAGAGATACCCCAGAATACCTGTAGCTATAGAGATACCTGTAGCATACCTGTAGCTATAGAGATACCTCAGAATACCTTTAGCTATAGAGATACCTCAGAATACCTGTAGCTATAGAGATACCCCAGAATACCTGTAGCTATAGAGATACCTCAGAATACCTGTAGAGATACATGAAAAACATGTACAGATACATCAGAAATGTCAAAATACATGTAGTCTAGATACATTTTATTTTATTTTATTTATTTTGACAAAATAAGGATTTTACAATCCAATGACACTCTGTAATCAAAACAATTAATGAAATAAAATCTTATTTCTGGACTCTAGATACATCAAAAAATATGTACAGATACATCATATACATCAAGATACGTATAAGTTAGTCTGCAGTAGACAGATTGAGTTAAAAAGTAATATGATTGGGCTGTGCTAGCCATATAGGGATCATAATCTATGAACAAATGTGACAATTTAAAATGTAATAAAATTTATAGAATAGATCTCATTTTGCTATTTATTTGTATGAAATGAATGCATTTGCATGTTTTTTAATGTGTGTATTTATAGAATTCATTTTTCAGAATAATGTTATTTATTGGATGTGACTACTTTTAGTTTTCCACATTCATTGAATGTGGTTATATAAAGAATAGGTTGTTATTGAATGTGATTACTTTTTAATTCTAGAAAAAGTTTATGTGTTGAATGCGAGTTGTAGAATAAAGGTTACTAATTGAATATATATTTATTTTGGTTAATGGGTTTATTTATAGAATCATGTTAAATTCCAGACAACAAGCAGTGTCCAGAGAGAAAAAACAAGTCGTAGCTCTTCCATCAGTAGTAATACGTCCCACCCAAGTATTCCACCCAACACACGGCCTCCCACACCTCCGCAGGGACGAGGCACTATTGGAAAGGCAGCAGGGGCAAATCAGAGTCAGTATAGGACACCAGCACCCCCCATAGCTCCGCCATCCATCCCTTCCTCACCCTACGCTCCGGGACACATTGCAATGCAAAGTAAGTAGGTCAAGCTGTACATTTTATCATACATTGTATCTTGACCATATGTAAGATGAGCTCCATGCTCAATATGTTATCAAGAATAAATAAAGCCTTTATTATTATTATAAATATCATAGGAAATAAAACACTCAGAGAAAGGCTGGACAAATGAATAGCTGCTATATATTCCAAATAGGAAAATTGATTTTGGTTTCCCATATAACAAGAAACATTTTTGCATATTGGTGATATGGATCAGATCTTTTGTTGTGTCATTTACAGTGTGTTGAAAACTGTATAGTTCTGTGTTTATGTTGATCACTTATTCAAGAATCTTTCATTGCAATTTGCATTACTATGCTTGTTAATTTATAGGTTTGTAATGATTGTATTTAAAACATAATTTGGCTGTTATCTTGCCTTATAGACCAGGCCAGACAGAGTGGATACGGTCCGGCAGACCAAGTCAGACAGAGTGGATATGGTCCAGCAGATAATTCAAGACAGAGTAGTACCTATGGACCGACTGAGGCCCAGATGAACATCTTGACCCCGCCTATTGGTCTAGCTCGTCCTATGTCTCAGGATGCCCCTCCACCATCCTACCCAGGCATGCATGGACGCAAATCACACATGGTACAGCAGCCATCTACAGGTAGGTCCGGAAGCTGGGCTACTGCTGGTTAAGTTTGGTCGAGCACTGATATTGTCATCTGCCAATTTGTAGCACACCTATTTAGATGTATGCTGAAGTTAACGATGTGTATAAGCATGAGCACTAGTTATTGTTACTTGAGAACAGTTTTATTTTTAATCGAATGCTCATTTCATGTTCATGTCAATTTCAAAACCTTTCTAGTGGTTTGTTTTTGGATTAAAGTTTGTGAACTTTGTGTAATTTCTGATAAAACTGAAGCTGTTGTTCCAGGGAGAATAACTAGTTGATGTAATATTTAGTATGTATTGTATTATTGCTTATCCTGAGGACTGGATCGACAGCTCTATATGATGTGGTGAAATGTCACAGTTGTCCTGTGTCTCAAATAATATGTTTTTATTCTGTCTTTACACTGGCAAGAAATTATCTCAATAACTGGCTATAACAAACAGATTTCTCAGGCTCTCTGAGGCATCCTATACTAAAAACATTATCTATAATGATGAAATAATGCAGTGAATACCAGCAGGACAGAATTTTGGCTGATTTCTGTTGATGGAGGTTCAATTTTGGGGACATATTTGAATTTAGAAAACATACATTTTGGCTTCTAAGATAGAAGCGTATCTGTGTAACTTAAAATGCATTTAGACTGATTGCCAAAAACAACTCTGTCATTCTAAATACCAAGTAAGGCCTGTTACTATGGTGTGGGCCTGTGCTGGTACATGTAGTACTACGTGGGTGATAGGATTTCTACATGATGTATTTAAACACATATGTGTGTATGTGACACAGGACCATGACCGTGCCACATATATTCAATGTACCTATGCTACCTTGTATCAGCATGGCTAGTATCATATCTCTTTAAGCATTTTATTTCACACAGGTTTGAGTTTCACATCCTGATCAGAATGACCATACCAAATGTATAACCAGGTCACCTGGCAGAAAGTGCTTGTGTTGTTCAGGCTATGACACATTTTCCATCATCTGTTGTTCATTCATCAACTTTTCTTTGAAGAGACTTCAAATAGTTCAGAATGACTATGGGGACATTTTGCTAAATTTGGCATAGAGCATTTCTGGGCCAAGGTGATTCCATTTTGTATAAATAAAGGTTATGGCCTTCCATGGGGAAGATAAATCGGTAGATGCTCAATAGAGAAAAAAGGGATTTATCTTCAAAAGAATAATTCAAGATGGCCACTCTTAGCCTTTGATTGGCTTAAGTATTTGCATGTTCATCTTTGATTCCACCGGGACAATTCTAACCAAAATTGGTTCAGGATAGGCATAATTGTTTTGGAATTGTGTCTTATCCAATAAATGTTATTAAGTTACAATATCTGATGGAAAAGAGTCTTATCTGTGCCAATATCAGATAGCACAATGAATTCTCAAATTGTTGTGTTTTATAAATCAATAAAATGAGGAATTTTTACAAGTCATTTGGTTAGCGTTGAAGAGGAATTTAGAAAAAGCAAAGGCTGTGACATACAAATTGTTAGTGTATTTAATTTAAATATATATATCTGGTTAGCATGACCAAGGGTGCATGCTCTTTATATAGAAATGAAGCATGTCTTTCTCTGTATATATTTAACTTGCAGTGAAACTTCATGATTACTACAACAAAAATATCAAACTTTTTATTCCTTGACAAGTTTATAATCATATATGTCAGAAATCAAATCTTCTTAAAGACAGTTTTAAATAATAACAGGTTTTTCAAAGTAGCAAAGTCATTTATATGAAAAGATGACAAGAGAAAGTGAGGAGACCTGATAACATAAAAAACCCTAAAAAAACAAGAGGAATTTAGGAGATAAAAAGAAATTTGTAATGGACCAACACGAAACAGAGGTGAGACAAGGTGCCACGTAGATTTGAGCCTAAAAAACTGACAACTTGTGCAGAATTAAATCAAGCTGAAATAGAAAAGTCCTACTAAATTTGTAGTCATCAGAAGATACTACAATGTTCCTACACAAAGCCACATCCTGTTGACCTCTCAGTGTGATACTACAATGTTCCTACACAAAGCCACATCATGTTGACCTCTCAGTGTGATACTACAATGTTCCTACACAAAGCCACATCATGTTGACCTCTCAGTGTGATACTACAATGTTCCTACACAAAGCCACATCATGTTGACCTCTCAGTGTGATACTACAATGTTCCTACACAAAGCCACATCATGTTGACCTCTCAGTGTGATACTACAATGTTCCTACACAAAGCCACATCATGTTGACCTCTCAGTGTGATACTACAATGTTCCTACACAAAGCCACATCATGTTGACCTCTCAGTGTGATACTACAATGTTCCTACACAAAGCCACATCATGTTGACCTCTCAGTGTGATACTACAATGTTCCTACACAAAGCCACATCATGTTGACCTCTCAGTGTGATACTACAATGTTCCTACACAAAGCCACATCATGTTGACCTCTCAGTGTGATACTACAATGTTCCTACACAAAGCCACATCATGTTGACCTCTCAGTGTGATACTACAATGTTCCTACACAAAGCCACATCATGTTGACCTCTCAGTGTGATACTACAATGTTCCTACACAAAGCCACATCATGTTGACCTCTCAGTGTGATACTACAATGTTCCTACACAAAGCCACGTCATGTTGACCTCTCAGTGTGATACTACAATGTTCCTACACAAAGCCACATCATGTTGACCTCTCAGTGTGATACTACAATGTTCCTACACAAAGCCACATCATGTTGACCTCACAGTGTGATACTACAATGTTCCTACACAAAGCCACGTCATGTTGACCTCTCAGTGTGATATATATATTCAATCTTTCAAAAACTACATCATTGAAATAGGGTGGGAAGTAGTTGGATAATATACCAATAGTATCTGGTTTAACAACACATACAGTTTCTATAAATGGTCATATGAGGCTGTATTTGTGCTGGCTGTGTTCAAATCAATTCTTTTATATCTATCAAATACCTAATATCACTGAATCTCTATTATTTCAAGGTGACATATTAAAATTAGGATTTGATATCGATAGACATATTGATATGCAGTAATCATAAATAACAGTTTTCTTTTAGAGCAGAAATTAGTTGTTCAGTGTTCAAAATAGGAACTGACCAGTTGTAAAGGAACATTTTGATTTTATCCTCGAAAGTTAAAAATATTCACACTGCAATTTTTACACACACAGTACCTATAATACCGGTATTGTTTATGGGAATCTTTTGCCCAATAAATATTCACCATTCATTAGTAGATTTCCAAATTCATTAAGTCTTGATTTCTATTTCATGTTTGATATACTTATACAGCAGCAAAGATAAATTCCTTCCCAAAACATGTTTTCAAAACTTGAATGTCTTTCCAGAATTTGGCATCGTTTTATGGTATAAGTTCTTGATTGTAATGGTAATTTTTAGTGGTTCATAAAAACATTACCCATGATGCTTTAGAGTTTCTAAAAATGATTTAAAATGAAAGGTGAAATGGGCAAAAGTTATACTGCTACGAATGTTTTCAGATATATAGCACATGTGTATGATCTATATATATCAATCACGATCTTCAATCACATTATTTGGACAATATAGTAGGACTCGCTTGGTATGTTGGAGAAAACTACCTATATATTGTGTGTGGGCATGATGGGATTGGAGCAAACTGTCTTGGTGCCGAATTCAAGTGTATATCCACTATCAGTCATTACACTTACGACATATCACCTACCTGAATGATATATATACTGTACCCAGTCACGACACTTGTAAACTACAGCCTACCTGTGTAACATACTTCTTATGCATTGTATAAGTAATGGAACTAACATAACAAGTCATATTGTCAGATGTAATATTTCGATTTGTTTTGAAAATGTGTATTTACATATATCTTAGTATAAATTGATCTTGAGCTATTGTAGGTAAAGAATTGATATTGATTACCTATTGTTGTTAACTCATTCACCCCTGAAATTTCATAATGAATAATTCCAACCTTTGAATTGGAAGAGTTCAAATGTGTTTTCAGGGGTAAAGGAGTTAATATAATTATATACATATATCAAAATAATACTTAAATCATCAATAGAAATTTACAAGTTGTTAAGACCGGTTATATCTATGTTTTATTTATAATTCTATGTAATACAATGACATTTGTAGTATAGAATTATAAGTTGGGCACATATTCATTTCCTGACCTTTAGTTATAATTGTGGTTGTATTTTTGTTGTATCCTCATTGATAATCATGTATTTTCCTTTCAGTTTTCAGTAAGAATTATTAATTTCTTCTTTGTTGTGCTTATTTTTGTTGATGGAAGAAGGAGCAGATCTCACAAATTATTTACAGTGAGTACAGGTTATTTGATAATGTACTTAGCTGGTAAAACCTATATACAGTGAGCAAAACGGTGATATATAACTGAAGTTATTGGATCACAAGCTTGGCTTGTTAAAATTATGTTGGAATTATTTAGAATCATCTATTAAATTTCAAAATCTTGTGAAGCACCCAGATGCAACCATGATGTTATGAAGTGTACAGTATTAAACTTGTTCATCCCTGAAGACTCACTTGAACTTTCTAATTCAAAGGTTGAAATAGTTCATTATTAATTTTCAGGGGTGAGCGAGTTACACTAATTTAGAATACAAAGTAATAAACTCTATCTACATCTGAGAAACTTATACACTGTAGTTTCATTTGGTACTGAAGCCACTACATGTTACTGAATCAGTGTTTGCGCTAAGTTTGGAAACAGATAGCTGACTTTAAAGTTTATGGTCACATGACCTGAACCTGTTTTCGAAATTCTAACCTTTGTCAAAGTTGATGAATAGCAGGCCCCTTTTCCAGCAACAGTCTTTAAATGAGAACACATGCAGTGAGTAGACTTAAGGTGGGTCATGATAAAAAAAATCTGAAGTGATAATTTATCTCACCAGCCCTGGCTGTGCTAACCTGTAAACTGAGTGAGAGTCTGCTCCTATTTCCTTCCCTCTGACCAGTATTGAGGTTGATCAATTAATAAAAGTCTGATCGAAGCTTCAATAAATCTGTCGACTTTTCTGATTGGTCAAATCTGATTGCGGTAAATGGTCAGTCTGATCTCTAAGCTGATCTGTGGTCAATGTGTTGTGCGTGGTCAGTATTTGCTTTACGACGGTCACTTTTACAGACCTGCCTCCTCCCCCGCCATCTTTGTCAGAAGCCCGAGACAACAGCCTTGTGGAAGACGACGAAGGTTTGCATGTTTTTGTGTCGCACGTTTTTATTCCATACTTTCAATATTGTCACAGTGATCATTTCACTAATTTGGGGTTCATTCTCAAATGTTAACTTACTGGTAGTATAATGTACTATTATTGTTCTATTATGAAAAATTAAAACAAACAAAAGACTACCTTGATGTAGGAGAGTTAAGTACATGTGACCTGTGATCTGTGTAAGCCAGACCCTGTATTATACAGAAACCTTGATGTAGGAGAGTTAAGTACATGTGACCTGTGACCTGTGTAAACCAGACCCTGTGTTATACAGAAACCTTGATGTAGGAGAGTTAAGTACATGTGACCTGTGATCTGTGTAAACCAGACCCTGTATTATACAGAAACCTTGATGCAGGAGAGTTAAGTACAAGTGACCTGTGATCTGTGTAAGCCAGACCCTGTATTATACAGAAACCCTGATAACTAATCACTAAATGACAACCTTTGTTATGCAGAAACATATGGAAACCAATTTAAATTTATGAATGTTATATTGTTCTGAGACACATTAAAAATCAAATGAATTGATTTACAGGATCAAACAGGATTTTCCGCAGACGTTTCCCAAAATCGTCTATAAAAAAGTATTAGACATAAATACCAACAATAGATATAAGCTTTATATATATATATTACATGATGACTAAAACATAGGAACCTGTCATTTTGTAAAAAAGATAATTTAACATGTCTATTCATGTTTATTAGTTTTCAACTTTATTCCTATTATTAATGAAAACATGTTATTTTTTTTGTTAGTTTACTGGTGTGAAATTTTGAGAAGAAAAATAAAACCATTAGTTGTATTTACTGAAGTGATATTCCTGAATATAAACTTATAATAATAAAACTTCCACAGATTTCTGTACAGAAGTTCTCCGTAAAGGGAGAACACACACAATTTATATTACAGTAGGTCCTATCCAAGTCCAACGTAAGTGTAATATACAGTCAGTACAAATATCATATTTCTGTCCTAGATATGACTTATTTGTTTTTGACATCTGTTTAATATCTATCAGGATATGTTTAACTCATTCAACCCTGAAAAATCATAACGAACTATTCCAACATTTGAATTGGAAGAGTCCAAACGTATCTTCAGGGGTGAATGAGTTAAATAGACTTCACTTTTATATGAAGATCTACAGGCATATAAATAATACAGTGTACACATCTACATAATTATATATACCGGATATATATCGCAATGTGTGATCTGTAAGATATGGACTTTAACTGAGTACAAGTATATAGCATGCTGAAATTATGAATGAGAGATACATATTACCCCGGTATACAAACATCTGACAGAGACTGGGAAGCTGGGGTTCAGAATATAACAAAACGAGAAATATATTCTAATTAAAAGAAAAATGTGTAAGTTCTTAAAGTATAGTTTGTTTGTCACTAATGTCACTTCATCGGATTGAACGATTTCACTTCTAATTCAAATTAACAAAATTAAGGGCCAGCAACCCAACCGATTGGTCTGACTAGTACTGTAATGTTTACCCTATGTCAGGAGCATGTACCTGTATCATAATTACAAATAACACATCAAGCTAGATCATTCGTTTCTCCTTCATTAACATATGACAGACACACATCTCTGATGGCTGGAACACCTATGGAGGTTACTTTGTCTTTTCATGGCCTTGCTCAGTGACCTCAGTTGGTGAAATCAATTTTTCTTAATCTTTAGAAGAAAATGGTTAAGTATTTTATCAGCTGAAATTCTGAAATGTGACGTCATGAGATTCACTGATATGGATGACGTAATTGTCATTTTGTCCACACACTATCGGTGGCTAACATTGTCAAACAATAAAAAACAAGTATTAAATTATCTTCCCTTGTTATGAAGCGTTGTATCATTACTTTAATCAACCATAGATGATAGAGGTCTGAGTAATGCATTTACATGGGATATAAATTAAAATGAGTGATTTGAGTAATACATTTACATGGGACATTAAAATGAGTGATCAATTTACTCCTCCACTGATTTCATACAAGCTTGGTAAAAACATTGAGTAACTAATAATCCTAGTGTACATATATACACAACACTATTTAATGTCACATTTGAGGTCTCTGTGTACTGTTATAACTAAGTATCAGGGAAGAGATGGTAGAAAAAGTTTGTTATGTAGGTATAGGGAGGGGAGATATGTATGTAGGTATAGGGAGGGGGGATATATATGTAGGTCAAGGGAGGGGGGATATGTATGTAAGTATAGGGAGGGGGATATATATGTAGGTATTGGGAGGGGGGATATGTATGTAAGTATAGGGAGGGGGATATGTATGTAGGTATGGGGAGGGAGTGGGAGTTATGTATGTAGGTATAAGGAGGGGGTAGATATGGATGTAGGTATCGGGAGGGGGGATATGTATGTATGTATAGGGAGGGAGGGGGAGGTGTGGATGTAGGTATAAGGAGGGGGGAGATATGGATGTAGGGATAGGGAGGGGGGTATATGTATGTCGGTATAGGGAGGGGGGAAGATATGTATGTAGGAATAGGGAAGGGGGTATATGTGTGTACATGTAGGTATAGGGAGGGAGTGGGATTTATGTATGTAGGTATAAGGAGGGGGGAGATATGGATGTAGGGATAGGGAGGGGGGATATATTTGTAGGTATTGGGAGGGGGGATATGTATGTATGTATAGGGAGGGAGGGGGAAGATATGTATGTAGGCATAGGGAGGGGATAGATATGTATGTAGATACATGTATAGGGAGGGGGTATATGTATGTAGGAATAGGGAAGGGGGTATATGTGTGTACATGTAGGTATAGGGAGGGGTTAGATATGTATGTAGGTAGAGGGGGGGGGGATATGTATGTAAGTATAGGGAGGGGGGATATATTTGTAGGTATTGGGAGGGGGGATATGTATGTAGGTATAGGGAGGGGGTAGATATGTATGTAGGTATAGGGAGGGAGTGGGAGTTATGTATGTAGGTATAGGGAGGGGGGGGAGATATGTATGTAGGTATAGGGAGGGAGGGGGAGTTATGTATGTAGGTATAAGGAGGGGGTAGATATGGATGTAGGTATAGGGAGGGAGGGGGAGATATGTATGTTATAGGGAGGGAGGGGGAGCTATGTATGTAGGTATAGGGAGGGGGGAAGATATGTATGTAGGGATAGGGAGGGGGAGATATGTAGGTAGGTATAGGGAGGGGGGTATATGTATGTAGGTATAGGTAGGGGGGATATGTATGTAGGTATAGGGGGGGGGGGGATATGTATGTGGGTATAGGGAAGGGGGTATATGTGTGTACATGTAGGTATAGGGAGGGGGTAGATATGTATGGAGGTATATGGAGGGAGGGGGTATATGTATGTAGGTATGGGGAGGGGTTAGATATGTATGTAGGTATAGGGGGGGGGGGGATATGTATGTAGGTATAGGTAGGGGGGATATGTATGTAGGGATAGGGAGGGGGGGGGAAGATATGTATGTAGGTATTGGGAGGGGTTAGATATGTATGTAGGTATAGGGGGGGGGGAAGATATGTATGTAGGGATAGGGAGGGGGGGGGAGATATGAGATATGTAAGTATAGGGAGGAAGATATGTATGTAGGTATAGGGGGGGGGGTATATGTATGTAGGTATAGGTAGGGGGGATATGTATGTAGGTATAGGTAGGGGGGATATGTATGTAGGTATAGGGGGGGGGGTATATGTATGTAGGTATGGGGGGGGGGGAAGATATGTATGTAGGGATAGGGAGGGGGGGGGAGATATGTATGTTATCGGCGGGGAGGGGGAGCTATGTATGTAGGTATAGGGAAGGGGGTATATGTGTGTACATGTAGGTATAGGGAGGGGGGTATATGTATGTCGGTATAGGGAGGGGGGATATGTATGTAGGGATAGGGAGGGGGGGGGAGATATGTATGTAGGGATAGGGAGGGGGGGGGAGATATGAGATATGTAAGTATAGGGAGGAAGATATGTATGTAGGTACATGTATAGGGAGGGGGTATATTTATGTAGGTATAGGGAGGGGTTAGATATGTATGTAGGTACATGTATAGGGAGGGGGTATATTTATGTAGGTATAGGGAGGGGTTAGATATGTATGTAGGTACATGTATAGGGAGGGGGTATATTTATGTAGGTATAGGGAGGGGGAGATATGTAGGTAGGTATAGGGAGGGGGGATATGTATGTAGGTATAGGGAGGGGGAGATATGTATGTAGGTACATGTATAGGGAGGGGAAGATGTGGAAATTCTATCCTCCATCTGTGAGTTCATAAGATAATTATGCATGAAGTAGGACAAAAAAATAAATACTGATGTCTTAAAATGGTTTCAGCATTAAATAAGCAAAGATTTCTTTGCTGAAATTGTTTGCTAATTAATGATTCAACAATGTTACCACATTATAAATTAGTTTTTCATTTTATTTTTGATAGTACCAAAATTCTGTAGACTTGTGTATTCAAATGGAGTCGTTTTGTACCCATGGCTTTATTTAATAAATATTTTGGATAAAAGACCATCATGATTCCAGTTTACAGGGTGCTAGATCAATCTCATCGTGAAGAGAGTGGAAGCATGGTAGTACACTTATCTGAAATATTGTAAAAAGCTAGTAAATGTTTTGTACTTTGTTGTATGCATGAAGCATGCTGTTGATCTATACGTAATATTAACTATGTTATTTCTTTACAGTTAATAGTTCAAAATTTCTTTAAATAGTCTTTATGCTGATTTTAATTTTTGCCTCTGTAAGCCCTTAATTTCAGAAACTAAACTTCGTTTAAAAAATCTTCAACCAACCGGTAACTGTATGTCTTTAATCCTCTAAAAATATATCAGTCAAAAACCTATTTTCTAATAAATTAAAAGAACTTTTATCACATCAAAGATTATGGAATAGAATTCCCAATAATATAAAAAAAAAATAGAAAAAAAATACCATATATAAGTTTATAAAATATCTATATATATCCTTGTTTGCTGTTGACAGTGTCCTCTCCCCCACTCCCCCCACCCCCTACAGACACTCCCTCTGTGTACAACCAGGCCCCTCCCCCACCACCGGAGTTCAACGATCCACCAGAGGACATTGATGACCACCCCCTCCCCCCACAGGAAGAGGATCCATATGCTGCTACAGGGCCTAACCTTGGACTGGGTCAGCCAGATTGGAAACCTGCAAGCTACCTCGAAAAAGGTTCGTCCAGATGAAATCTGAGATCACTAAGTTTTGCACAGTTAACCAGTCACATGACATATCTAAAAGTGTATGGGACCTAAAAAGGTTGCCATAATGCCAGTGTGTCACAGTTATTGTCATTTAATTCTGTATTACAGTTATTGTCATTAATTTCTGTGTTGCAGTTATTGTCATTAACTTCTGTGTTGCAGTTATTGTCATTTGATTCTGTGTTGCAGTTATTGTCATTTTATTCTGTGTTTCAGTTGTTATCATTAATTTCTGTGTTAGAGTTATTGTCATTAAATTATGTGTTACAGTTGTTATCATTAATTTCTATGTTAGAGTTATTGACATTAATTTCTGTGTTTGAGTTATTGTCATTAACTTCTGCGTTAGAGTTATTAACATTAATTTCTGTGTTTGAGTTATTGTCATTAACTTCTTTGTTGCAGTTATTGTCATTAAATTATGTGTTACAGTTGTTATCATTAATTTCTGTGTTAGAGTTATTGACATTAATTTCTGTGTTGCAGTTATTGTCATTTGATTCTGTGTTGCAGTTATATATTGTCATTTAATTCTGTGTTACAGTTATTGTCATTAACTTCTGTGTTAGAGTTATTAACATTAATTTCTGTGTTGCAGTTATATATTGTCATTTAATTCTGTGTTACAGATATTGTCATTAATTTCTGTGTTGCAGTTATTGTCATTATCTTCTGTGTTACAGTTGTTATCATTAATTTCTGTGTTAGAGTTATTAACATTAATTTCTGTGTTAGAGTTATTAACATTAATTTCTGTGTTACAGTTGTTATCATTAATTTCTGAATTATAGTTATTGTTATTTATTTGTTTATTACAGTTATTGCTATATATGATTACCTGGCTGATAAAGAGGATGAGCTGACCTTCAATGAAAATGCTGTAATCTATGTCACCAACAAAAACGATGATGGCTGGTGGGAAGGGGTACTTAATGGTTTTACAGGACTTTTCCCTGGAAATTATGTAGAACCGTGCATGTGATCACTGCCAACAAATCACAAGCAAAGATGATGAACAGAATCAAAATGAAATGAGGTTCATTATTGTGAACAAGACTCTTTAAGAAACTGACATGGAATGTTCTTTGGCTGATACCGATTCCTCCAAGTATTTTGTAAAGGAACAGAGGTTGATCAACAGATTAATATCATGCTAATATGTTTAACTTATTCACCCCTGACATTTCAAACCTCTGAATTGGAAGAATTCAAATGTGTTTCAAGGGGTGAATGAGTTAATACATACCATAATGTGTCTAAGTTATAACAGTGAGAGCCTGTCATGTGACCATGAATCACCTTTAGGAGGAGCTCTACCCATGTTATGTGAGAGATTTACAATGTGGACTGTTGAATAACAGGACTTGGAGATGGAAGATAAAATGGTTGGTAAATTTCGACAACAAGTTGGTGTTACAATAAGGCAGTAATCAAGGCTGAAACGACTTTGAGAAAGAATGAGGAAATGAGATACAAATATGTACCATCAACTGTTTGTGAAATAGTATCCTGTGGTTGTAGAAAAGAAATATATTTATGAACTAATTGCATGCAGGTGAATTCTTAAGAGATGGGATGGGGTATGATTAATGGAGAAACACTTTTGTTAGGTAATTTCTGGAACATGTTTATTACAGTATGAAGTTCCTCTGTTTATTTGGTTTAATTAATGATTATACACTACATAACAGTTCTTAATTCTAAGATATGAAGTGTGTCACTTTTAAAATTGGGCTACTTCAGTTGAAAGTCGTATTGGCAGGTGAATGTGTTCATTGTTCAAGTATTTTGTATCACAGTCACAAATCTTTATTTAGTTATAAAACCTTCAAACTATATTTCTTGAAAAAATATTAAGAAATTTTATTTAGAAAGTTTTAGTTATCAAGTATGTTTTTATTGTAGAAGTAAATGCATGTGAAACACATTTCCTGGAATTTCCTCGGGAGTTATATGTGATCTGATGAGGACTAGTAGGTCGAAACAGCTGTATATTTATAATGCAGTATATTACCAAATTGTAAAGGTGCTATCGCCCTTGTGTATGTGTTACCTTTTTCTCTCTTAACTTAAGTACTCCATATGATTGTGTATACAAAATATATTGATTATATACATCGGGGAGTTGTTTTTCCTGTTGTAAGTACACCAGTATAATGAACATGAATAGGAAATACAAGTCTGTCATCTGGTTTAATAAAATTATCAGAAATAATTTCAAATTTAATAATAAATACCGGTAAAAGGCACAGCTCTATTTGTAACTTCGATTTTTACAGAGGTAATTGTGAGATTTAGAAATCAGAAGTGGCATTCTGCTATTAATTTGTACGATACACATGACTTTGAAAACAGTTGATTGTTAACCCATACACCCCTGACGACACATTTGAACTCCTCCGATTCAAAGGTTGGAATAGTTCATTGTGAAATTTCAGGGGTTAATGAATACACATAGTTCTTGTAGATGCATTTCTGGTAACATAAGTGCTTTGCATTATTTTAAAGGCGTCATCATGACAATATTTACATCTACTGTGTGATGAACACTTTCTAGAGAATCGAGTCTCATACATTGGTAGTAAGAACACTGTACTGTGGCTGTCTTGCCAAAAACGAAATTACATTTTGACGTCTGAGCCTTAGATGTTATTTCAATATCTTATCATAATTGTTTCTTTTGTATGTGATTATATTTGTCATTATTATTATAATGCATTCATTGTCATTCTTATCATTACATTATATAGTCTAAGACTTGGAGGATTCTCTTTTATGTCTGCTTAATGTATTTCCATGCTGATTATGGAAAGTTGTTTTACAATGCTTTAATCATCCACAGTTAATTGTGTATTCGCCAATGTATGCAGTATCCAGATAAACATTTAACAGATCAAATAATTAGATACAACAGAATCCCAGTTAACTCAAAATTGGATGTGAAGAGTAACCTATATGATTTGTTTACATTATATATGCACATGTGTTTTGCCTTGATTCCTCATTTTTAAATTCAAACAGAAATCAAGATTTTTTATACTAAAATTTAATCTTTGGTTGCAATCAGGTTCTCTTACAGAAAGTTTAATTTCAGCAATATTCTTTTACAAAAAACATTAATTTTTAACAGTAATGTGGGATAATATTAACATTGGATTAGCATAGTTTTAGGGGAACTGTTAGCTTTTTTTCTCACTGTAAGTCGAATCTATTCACCAACAGTTAACAAAAGACTGTTAGCAATAATTAAACTAAAACGTTTGGGAGTTGCATATATTCATATATTTATATATATTTATCAAGATAAAATTTCTATATAGCTGCATGACGTCCGACACAGTTTTACTGATTTAATTGTCTGTTCATAACAAGGTAAGCGGCAGCACTGGACTGCATGTGTAATTAGTATGTATTACAAATAAATGTATGTGTTAATAGTTACGCTTGTTGTTTGAATTTGTCCTCTATCCCAGATACTTTTCTCGACTTTCAATAGATTGTTTTATTGTTTGAATCCCTGCTACACATGACTGATTTGTATTCATCCTTTTGACTTCATTTCAAAATAGATATTGTTGTAATTTAACATATCCTTACGTTCATCTTTTAAAAAATAAACTGTTGATAAGCTCCTTAAATGATATTTATTATTTCTTGTTAAAATGCGTGCCTGCTTAAGAAATCAATGACCTGTTATACATATATAGTAGTCTTGTTTAACCGACACGCCCTTACCTCTGCCACATATCAACCCTGTTATACGTAATAATGTTGCAAACATCTATACCTGGAACCCTGGTTATACACTAGTCACATATGTTAGAGGTAGTTACAAAATATACACTAGTCACATAAGTCAGAGGTAGTAACAAATTATACACTAGTCACATATGTTAGAGGTAGTAACAAAATATACACTAGTCACATATGTCAGATGTAGTAACAAACTATACACTAGTCACATATGTTAGAGGAAGTTACAAAATATACACTAGTTACATAAGTCAGAGGTAGTAACAAATTATACACTAGTCACATATGTTAGAGGTAGTTACAAAATATACACTAGTCACATATGTCAGAGGTAGTAACAAAATATACACTAGTCACATATGTTAGAGGTAGTAACAAAATATACACTAGTCACATATGTCAGAGGTAGTAACAAAATATACACTAGTCACATATGTCGGAGGTAGTAACAAAATATACACTAGTCACATTTGTCGGAGGTACTAACAACATATACATTAGTCACATATGTTAGAGGTAGTTACAAAATATACACTGGTCACATATGTCAGAGGTAGTAACAAAATATACACTAGTCACATATGTCGGAGGTAGTAACAAAATATACACTAGTCACATATGTTAGAGGTAGTTACAAAATATACACTAGTGACATATGTCAGAGGTAGTAACAAATTATACACTAGTGACATATGTTAAAGGTAGTTACAAAATATACGCTAGTCACATATGTCAGAGGTAGTAACAAAATATACACTAGTCACATATGTCGGAGGTAGTAACAAAATATACACAAGTCACATATGTCGGAGGTACTAACAACATATACACTAGTCACATATGTTAGAGGTACTAACAAAATATACACTAGTCACATATGTCGAAGGTAGTAACAAAATATACACTAGTCACATATGTCAGAGGAAGTAACAAAATATACATTAGTCACATATTTCGGAGGTAGTAACAAAATATACACTAGTCACATACGTCGGAGGTAGTAACAAAATATACACTAGTCGCATATGTCGGAGGTAGTAACAAAATATACACCAGTCACATATGTCGGAGGTAGTAACAAAATACACACTAGTCACATATGTCGGAGGTAGTAACAACATATACACTAGTCACATATGTTAGAGGTAGTAACAAAATATACACTAGTCACATACGTCGGAGGTAGTAACAAAATATACACTAGTCACGTATGTCGGAGGTAGTAACAAAATATACACTAGTCACGTATGTCGGAGGTAGTAACAAAATATACACTACACATATGTCAGAGGTAGTAACAAAATATACATTAGTCACATATGTCGGAGGGAGTAACAAAATATACACTAGTCACATATGTCAGAGGAAGTAACAAAATATACATTAGTCACATATTTCGGAGGGAGTAACAAAATATACACTAGTCACATATGTCAGACGTAGTGACAAAATATACACTTCTCACTTATGTCAGAGGTAGTAACAAAATATACACTAGTCACATACGTCGGAGGTAGTAACAAAATATACACTAGTCACATATTTCGGAGGTAGTAACAAAATATACACTAGTCACGTATGTCGGAGGTAGTAACAAAATATACACTACACATATGTCAGAGGTAGTAACAAAATATACACGAGTCACATATGTCTGAGGTAGTAACAAAATATACACTAGTCACATATGTCGAAGGTAGTAACAAAATATAGACTAGTCACATATGTCAGAGGAAGTAACAAAATATACATTAGTCACATATTTCGGAGGTAGTAACAAAATATACACTAGTCACATATTTCGGAGGTAGTAACAAAATATACACTAGTCACGTATGTCGGAGGTAGTAACAAAATATACACTACACATATGTCAGAGGTAGTAACAAAATATACACGAGTCACATATGTCTGAGGTAGTAACAAAATATACACTAGTCACATATGTCAGACGTAGTGACAAAATATACACTTCTCACTTATGTCAGAGGTAGTAACAAAATATACACTAGTCACATACGTCGGAGGTAGTAACAAAATATACACTAGTCCCATATGTCGGACGTAGTAACAAAATATACACTAGTCATATATGTCGAAGGTAGTAACAAAATATGCACTAGTCACATATGTCGGAGGTAGTAACAAAATACACACTAGTCACATATGTCGGAGGTAGTAACAACATATACACTAGTCACATATGTTAGAGGTAGTTTCAAAATATACACTAGTCACATATGTCGGAGGTACTAACAAAATATACACTAGTCACATATGTGGGAGGGAGTAACAAAATATACACTAGTCACATATGTCGGTGGTAGTAACAAAATATACACTAGTCACATATTTCGGAGGTAGTAACAAAATATACACTAGTCACGTATGTCGGAGGTAGTAACAAAATATACACTACACATATGTCAGAGGTAGTAACAAAATATACACTAGTCACATACGTCGGAGGTAGTAACAAAATATACACTAGTCTGATATGTCGGAGGTAGTAACAAAATATACACTAGTCACATATGTCGAAGGTAGTAACAAAATATACACTAGTCACATATGTCAGAGGTAATAACAAAATATACATTAGTCACATATGTCGGAGGTAGTAACAAAATATACACTAGTCACATACGTCGGAGGTAGTAACAAAATATACACTAGTCCCATATGTCAGAGGTAGTAACAAAATATACACTAGTCCCATATGTCAGAGGTAGTAACAAAATATACACTAGTCACATATGGCAGAGGTAATAACAAAATATACATTAGTCACATATGTCGGAGGTAGTAACAAAATATACACTAGTCACATATGTTAGAGGTACTAACAAAATATACACTAGTCATATATGTCGGAGGTAGTAACAAAATATACAATAGTCACATATGTCGGAGGTAGTAACAAAATATACACTAGTCACATATGTCGGAGGTAGTAACAAAATATACACTAGTCACATATGTTAGAGGTAGTTACAAAATAAACACTTGTCACATATGTCAGAGGTAGTAACAAAATATACACTAGTCATATATGTCGGAGGGAGTAACAAAATATGCACTAGTCATATATGTCGAAGGAAGTAACAAAATATGCACTAGTCATATATGTCGAAGGAAGTAACAAAATATGCACTAGTCATATATGTCGAAGGTAGTAACAAAATATACACTAGTCACATATGTCGGACGTAGTAACAAAATATACACTAGTCATATATGTCGAAGGTAGTAACAAAATATGCACTAGTCACATATGTCGGAGGTAGTAACAAAATATACACTATTCACATATGTCGGAGGTAGTAACAAAATATACACTAGTCCCATATGTCGGACGTAGTAACAAAATATGCACTAGTCACATATGTCGGAGGTAGTAACAAAATATACACTATTCACATATGTCGGAGGTAGTAACAAAATATACACTAGTCACATATGTCGGAGGTAGTAACAAAATATACACTATTCACATATGCTAGAAGTTATGTACCATAAATTACCTCGCTTAATATCTGAAACGTTCATATTCATCAATATCTTATTTCAACGCTTTTAACATTGCGATAAATTATGGTTGCAGTGTAGATTGTTTTCGATTGCGGTTTTGTTGGTACACTAATTCATCAATTCGCTAAAAGTTCTAATTTTATAATATTTTAAAATTTTACCTCGTTTAAATGAGCACATTTATCGTATCGTATTACACCTTTCGATGTTGCACTTCATTTCTTTGAAAACGAATTAAAATAGAAAGAGGTTACTATAAAACAGTAATTTTTTACTGTGCGCATACCCTCCATCTAGGTTTATGTACGTAGAGCTACTGTCACTTAGTGCGCTGCTGTTTGATAATTTTCCGGCTCTTTGTTTGTGGCAATGTCGAGATCTGTCCATTGATTTTTTTTCTGGGAATATTATTAGGATCAACAGACCGAAGCCCATGCAACCAAGTAAAACCCAATTCATCAACATCGTGTTTAAGGACAAAAATAGAATAATTAGTAATGTGAAAAATATGATTTCTCCATGGATGTCAAGAATACCTCTTTTGATCCAAAAATATGTAGTTCATATGTAACAAAAGAATTTATATAAAATTGATCGTTATTGTTATGCATGATTAAAAAAACCCATATAATGCATGTCATATGAGGGGATGATTATCGGGGGCCTGCAGAATCGAAGGGGTTCTTGGTATACATTTCATAGATAATATTGCAGCGACCAAAATTGATCTGTTGCCCCCGATGCAACGTTAAACGATTTTGGAAACACGGTTCAAGGGGAGCGGACATTCTGAAACTAATATTTAATCGTCTTTGTAGATAAATACTGGATAGAATTAGAAAATATTACGATAACGCATTTTGTGAGAAACAAATGAAATTACTAAAATAACATAGATATGTCAGTGACGCTTATATAAAACCGGCGGCTTGGACCTTACCAGTGTTTGTTATAGGTAGCACTAACAGGAACAGACTTCCACACGTGGACCTTACCAATGTCAGTTATAAGTAGCACTAACAGGAACAGGCTTCCACACGTGGACCTTACCAATGTTAGTTATAAGTAGCACTAACAGGAACAAGCTTCCACACGTGGACCGTACCAATGTTTGTTATAAGTAGCACTAACAGGAACAGGCTTCCACACGTGGACCTTACCAATGTTTGTTATAAGTAGCACTAACAGGAACAGGCTTCCACACGTGGACCTTACCAATGTTTGTTATAAGTAGCACTAACAGGAACAGGCTTCCACACGTGGACCTTACCAATGTTTGTTATAAGTAGCACTAACAGGAACAGGCTTCCACACGTGGACCTTACCAATGTTTGTTATAAGTAGCACTAACAGG